CAGAATAACACTACTTTAGAGACTTACTACCGGTGTGAACACAGAACATGCTAGATTGTTACAAAATTTGAAATGATCCATCACTAATAGTAAGGCAGTAAATGCTTCATCATGTCAGTCACTAAGTTATAATTTCTGTCATTTATTTAAAATGCTTATTTGCACCACAATATATAAAGCATGAATGGTTGGATAGGGTTTTTTTTTATGTTTCGCTATGGCCTGTGTTCGGTCATTCTGTATTAAACTAAATTTTTTACAGAATTTCACATAAGACAGACTGTTTCTTCCTGTTCAAATCTTCTGATTTTGATTGCATGCATTGGTGTGCATGCAATCAAAAAAGAAACTGCTTATGAACAATTCAACAATTTTGTTAAACAAAATTGTATTTTGGTAGCCATTAAGCAGAAGCACAATACTATCCCCATCATTATCAGCAACTCTTACGTTCAAGAAGAACACATCTACTGGAATCATCCTGAGAACAAATTTATACTGGTATAAGGGGAGAGAAATGAGCAACTTGAAAGGCAAATCATTATTGTAGAAAAGAAGTTATATTCTGTGTACTAGCATTATCATGCCGTGATGTACCATTAATTTACTGTTAAAAGACGCTAATGGGCATGTTAGCCCACAGTCTCTCTTTTGTCAAGTTACATCAACGTCACTTTAATTTTAACTATTTACTTGATCACATTTACCCTAATTAGCTAAGTACTGTGGATTAAAAAGCAATTCTGAAAGCCTGATGTTCTACCAGGAACTATTCCAATGTACAGCATGCTTGACCAATGTTCTCATTCAACATAATGAGAAACAACAACCATCCAAGGCTTATAAGTACTGGCATTTGTTGCAAGGATGCCAACCAAATTCCAGATCACTTAGTTACATTATGCATACTTGCATTCCTTCTCGACTCCAAAACAGACACATTATTCTTAATTTTATACTCTAAAAACATAATTGAACAGAATTGCTGGTACACAATAGCTGTACTATTTCTAAACGAAAAAGCAGTTGCATTTCAGTAGCATCCAAAAGGATTCTAGTTCCATTACAAGCATTCTTTAATAATGCTAGACAAAAGCTACAGAGAAAGAATCTAAGACAAATGTTGCACAGTTAATGAGCATTTATTGAATGATAAAATAATAACTGATGAGGCCTTGTGAATATCCCAAATAATACTCAAAATATTTCAGACCACTGTATATAAAGTAATCCAACCATAAAATTACAAACTCACAATTCGTAGCTGCCTAGAAAAATCTGATTTATTAACTTCATTTGTATCTAGCAGAAACAGTACTCCAGAGTCTGAATTAAACTGTGCATGACAAAAATGAACCATCTGAACTTTTCTTACTACTTAGCTGCCTTGTTTTCTTTTTTAAACAGCCAGCTGGAGAGAGCTTTTGTTCCTCTACACCAAGCATGCAACCATTTTGTGCATAAAGGAATGACTACAAGAAAAATGTTAGCATAATTTCAGTTCTGTTTTATGACACAGATGTGTGTGTGGATGCAAGCAATTACTGGGTTGACTAAACCCATCCTTTGACAGTATGTTTTACATACAATTTCCTAAGGTAGAGAAACAGTGAGTCAGAATTTCAAGGAGTCTGTTCAAGCCATAGAACTAAGGTAATTTGTGTCATCATGATTCCCTTTGTTCCACTCCTGATAGAACCCTCTTCTTGACTACTTATCTGCACCAGTCACATTCCTCGATGAATTTTATTCAATTTCAATTTCCAATCTTCAACTTTTTTTACCCCTTGCCTACTACTCCTACTATCTCATTAAGGAATCATGGAATCCCCCACCCAGAATCTCCAACTTTCTGATAGAAAACGAATTACCATACAGGAAAGAAAGTGGTAATAAATCCCCTGAAAAAACTATTAAGAAGAATGAGATGCTCAGAAATGGGTAATCAAATTCAGTGGCATCTCAGCAATTTCTTAAAAATAAAAATGTCTTTAATTCCTCATTCTTTTGTTTCACACACTTGCTTAAAGTTGTATCAACATGCCAGTCTCTAATTTCCCCACAATTTACTGAATTTAGTGCATCCTTAAGACATGTATGTTTTCATTATTCAGGGAGGTTCTCATGAGCTTTGTACTTCCTTTTGCTCTGCTTATGTGAATTTTCAATCTGTCAGGCAGTTTGGTTTTTACTTCCATCAGTTATACTCAGCTTTTATTGTTTTGATGTTTTCTGTATAAAGTGCTCCTTTGGTCTAGAAATGGTTAAGAAACACTCTCTACCTTAAAGCTACACAGTCTCTTCAAAAACTTTAAATGAGAGTCGGTAATAGATGGAAGTCAGTAATGCATTTTTTTTTTAAAAGAAAACAACAAACCACCAGAAAAACCACTCTGCTTGACTTAAATTTAAGTAGCCTTAAAGCATCAATATTCAAATCTTATTCAATATCATATGCCACTATCCACCATAGTGGATTGTAATTCCTGACAAATACATCACACTGGAGCCACTGGACTCTCACTTGAAGCTGAAAAATCCTTCAGTCCCTGGTTTAAATGTGCAGTTGCTATAACTGAACTAAATGGAACCATACTGTCTCAGATACAATGAGCGAGTTATGGATCTCACTTAAGAAGATTAAATTATCTTCTTCCTTACTTGGTTACCAGTGTGGAAAAGAATCAAAACATCAGCCAGCTATAACATTACAGCTGTTCCTCACGCTGGAAACATTTTGCTCTGTCTCTTTATAGTGCAGAACTTCTCTGCAATAATCTTGCCCAGTAATTTACTTGGATTTACTCAGACTGAACCTACATACTAATAATCCACTTTGCAGAAAACAATGCACCCAGTTACAGTATTTTCCTGTATACCTGTAAATTCCCAGGCTGTATCATACATTCTCATTGGTATTTGAACACAGATGACACACTTGCTTATAATATAAAGATTATTTCAGCAGTAATTGCGGATCTTGCATATATATTGCAGGTAGCCACATTAGCGTTGCCAAATGTTTGTTCTAGAATTACTTAAAGTGGGGGACTTTTTTTTACAGGTCTGGTACAGCAGGTTCACACCCTAGCATTCTTGGTGCAGATAATAAAAAGAGTAGAATAAACCATATTAACCACAGTTAATATGAGACAGATATTAGCTCCATAACCCCACAACGGAGGTGGAGAGAACACAAAGATGGGCAGTAAATGTGAATAGAAAATACATCTATTATATAGCTCTTAGAAGTAAGATAGCACTTGAAACATCAGTTCAACCTGCAAGTCAGATGCCTCATACTCTTGTTTAAAAATAACAGAACAGCTAGAGCACTGCAGAGGATGCAGCTTCAAAATAACAATGTACTTCTTCACATAATGAAGGGTAATCTAATTTGTTCATATAAATCCATGTTAAGTTATGGAATTCCTTAACACAGACTGCTGACAATATTAAACATTTACAGAGATTCAGAACTGTCTGCATGTGCTAATGAAAGGAAAAGTTAATTGTACTACCTTATGTAGATGCATAAATCACGAATGATGGCACTGAGAATGTTCTGTATGGCAACATGGTATATGCTAATAAGTATATAGTACTAGCATATGCTTTCCCTTCATTTCTTCCCCAGAGTTTGTTATTGATCACTGTCAGAGACAGGAGACTGAACTAGACAAAGATGAGCTCTGAATCAATATTGCTGTTTTCTTGTGGCAGCAGGGAAACCCAAGGCAGAAATCAGAACAGGTTTCCAGAGTAGTGCTGTTTTAAGAGCCAGTATGGTCAGTGGAGCTGAGAGGTGCATAACGCAAGAGGCTATGAGAACCTGGGGTAAGCACAGACCTCAAGATCATGACTTTAATTTGATCCCTGTTTGTCCTCAGACATGAGGACCCAGAGGTGACCAGAGGAGAGTCTATGAAGGATGAATACAGTTAAGTTTCAAAAAGAACATAATCATTTGATCATATCAGAGTGGGTAAATAACATTAACTAAAACATATAATCAAACTAGAGAGGGAAAAGCAAAAAGAAGCCCTAGGAGGAGAGGAGGCTATTTAGCCCTGTTGTAAATTCCCAGGAGAGACAAGAGACAAGCAAACAATATGAACAATAATACTGCAAAAATTATACTTAAAGTATATTTAAAAAGAATCTTGTTTATGCAACAACAAATCTTGGTGCACAAAAAGGAAACTCCTGAATTCAGACATGCTTTAATTACTCTGTATCAGTTTAGTGCTATTACTGTCTGCACAGATTCAACCTAAATGCAATTCAATTTGAGAATTCAGGTACTGCTCCATTTGACTTTTCTTAATCTTTGTTGTATTAAGTTGTAAATAATTCCTCCTAATCCAGTTTATTATCTTGAACATGCTGAAGAATTTTGATTGTCCTTTTGTGATAACACTGAAGTTTACAGATAATCACTTTTAAAACTGAATTTTGCCTTCTTGTTCTTCATGCACACCACTGTATGTCCATGTTATTCAAAACTAAAGTACAAAAAAGCTACAGGTTTGATTATATTTTACGATTTTTTTTGGTTCTTCATATATGCAGTTTCATTAAGGAGGGCAAAAGGAATGAAATGTAACAGATGATCCCTGACACCTCAATTTCTGTGCTCAACAGATCGTTGTCTGATGTCTTCTATTCCTTTGACTATTATAAATTCAGCCTATGGATAAGCCTCTCCTCTTTCAAAGCAAGTCCATGAGAAGATGCATGAAGTTGTTTAAAATAAAGACAAAGTTCTAGGTGAAAAATCCATATGCAATCCACAATCTACTATTACTGTCTAAAATCTACACCATTCAAAGTGCAGAGTCCTTTGAAAAATCAGTTTGGAATGTTCTAGGATATTCCAATTGGTATTCCTACCAAAATCAAAGTATAAGTAAAAAAATTAAAAAATCAAAAGAACATAGAATACACCCATTTTAAAATACTGGCATTTTCAGCAAGGGTAGAATTAGGGAAACACTTACCTTATCTGTTGTCTGCTAGAACTTTCCTTTAAAAGCTGTCTGGACTCAGCTTTCACAGTGCAGAACACAGACATCTTCCAAGTTCTTAAATTCAGGGAAAGAATGAAGTAAAACTTGATTAATACATAATTCTATCAGTGCCCAGAATTCTGAAAGAAAGCTACATTAATTTGTTAAGAGCTAAGACAGACTTAAATAAAACAGCAAGTCACTACTGAATTTAAATATGAAATTCAATTTTTCTCATAATTCAAGCTTATCTGAGTAAGATTTTATTATGTCATCTCAGCACATAGGACAACTCATGTTATTTTAAACTAAATCAAGTGTTTAGAGATTCACTGAATATGATAATAAAGTTGAAAGAATACATTCCATAAGGGACAAACCTAGAGACAAAGAAAGTACCAGCTTTTCAAAGTTAGAGGTGATATGGAAAGAAGTGCTATACTTAATATAAATCAGTTCTCAATTGCATGTTTCAAATCAACATCAACTTCTTAAACTGTTAATGACTATGTGCAGCAACATATAACTATACATAACCACAAATACACATTGATTTCTGGAGCTAAGGGAAAAATTCCATGAGAAGGCTAAAATACATTTGTTCTTTGCAGCCTGACATACCAGAAAAACACTCTTGTGATAGTAGATATATCCACTACTAGTGGAGTAGTATTACCATTTTCATACTACTGCTATCACTTTCATACTACTATGAAATAGTGTCATATTAAAAATTCAAGGTTTTTTTTCTCCCCCTAAAGCGTGGGGATTTTTATACCTTCAGATATACACAAAACTCTGAATCTTTAGAATAATATAAATATCAATTTAAACATTTGCCTTGAAAGTACTTCCCCTCTCTTGAAGGTTCCTGTTATTTCATTCATTCATTTGTTACTAATTCAATATTGACCTTCTCAAGATACATAAATACCTTATCAGTTATACATTTCTTTTCACTTATTCTCAAAGATTTAATTTGATTTGAAGCACGCCCTCTGTAAAAGCACAGAGATTTAATCTGAGGAATTCTGTTCCTTGTAGAGAAACAGAATTTGTAACATTTCAAGTTATGCCAACTGTTGATCATTGTCACATTTAAAAATTACGGTTAGTTTGTTGTCAGCCTGTCATTAGCCACTAGATCCTCTTATTCCTGCCTTTTGCAGGATAAAGAATCCTTTAGGATTCTGTATGGCACTGAAAGGTACCCAAAACCTAAGTAAAACATACATCTTTTCCAGGAGAAACTGGTCAATCGAAATCCCCATGGTGTGCGGTGCATTTTCGAGATGTAGTTCTGTGCTTCACAGTTTTGTCACACATGCTTCGGATAGAAGCACTAGAACCACCTGTGACTGTTTTAGATTCTAAACCAAAGACGACTTAATACAAACAAAAGCTGAGCAAAGAGCCGTATCGGCGAGGCTCGTTACGAGCCCGGCTTGGCTCCCAGTCGAGCAGCTGTTCTGGCACAGGGATGCTCCCGAGCCTCACACCGACAGCGCTGCTGGCAAAAGCCCTCCTCGCTGTGTAGCGCACATTTGCACCGCCAGAGCCCTTCTCGGCACTTGTTGCTCTCCCTCCCCCTTTTCACACTGCGCCAACAGAGTAATTTGTGCCGTTATGCGAACAGATTTCGGAAAATCACTCTGGATTAATTTCTTTCTCCTGTCAGGCTGCATTTCACAGAATCACAGGATCTACTGAGTGGGAAAAGGCCTCCGTGACCATCGAGTCCAACCCGTGACCGGACCCCACCTTGTCAACCAGATCACGGCACTGAGTGCCACGTCCAGTCTTTCCCTACTCACCTCCAGGGGCGGTGACTCCACCACCTCCCTGGGCAGCCCATTCCAATGTCTGAACACCCTTTCTGTGAAGAAGTTCTACCTAATGTCCAACCTTCACCCTCCTTAACGTCCACCCTAAACCTGGCAGCCCTTTTGCTCCGTGCCACCCGCTCCAGCTCAGGAGCAAACAAGGCGCGGGGCGGAACGGGGAAGCGCCGGCTGGGACACACATGGAGCGAGGTGGGGCAGCCCCGTGTGCCGCCAGCCCCGCACGTCGCCGGGGCACGGGGCGGGGCGGGGACCGGCCACCTGGCCCCGGGCACGCCGTCCCCGGGGCTCGGGTCGGCAGAGCCGCTCTCGGCCCCGCCGGGCTCGCTCGGCTCCCCCGCCCGGCACCGCCCCGGCCCCGCTGAGGGGGCGGCGGCCGCGCGCCCCGCCCCGCCCCGCCGCGCGCTCACCTTCCTCCGCGCGCCGGGCACACCCGCGGACCCGCCCGCCCGCCGCGCCTGCGCGGCACGGCCGCCGCCCGCCCCGCCCCGAGTGCGCAGGCGCCGCGCGCGGTCGCCGTGGCAACGGGACGCGGAGCGCGGAGGAGGCGGCGGCGGCGGCGGGTCCGGCCCGGCCCGGCCCGACCATGTCGCGGATCCTCTGCGAGTGGCTGAACCAGGAGGTGAAGCTCTCTCGGCACGTCGGTGAGTGGGGCCCTGCTGCGCGGGGAGGAACGGGGGCGCTGCCTCGGGGTCGGGCCAGGTCGGGCAAAGGGGTCTCCCCCCCGCCGCTGCCCCGCGCCCAGGTACCACCGCAGGTACGTGTTTAGTCGTGGAATCGCAGAATCGTCAAGGTTGGAAGAAACCTTCAGGATCACCCAGTCCAACTGTCCACCCCGCAATGCCACTGTAACCCCTAAAACACATCGCCCAGCGCCAGACCTAGACACCTCTTAAACACCTCCACGCATGGTGACTCCACCACCTTCCTGGGCAACCTGTTCCGATGCCTGAAGTTTTCGAGCTAAAGTTAATTCTCCTCGTGGGGCAAGTGCTCTCGGGAGACAGGAGGTGCTCAAGCTTCACCTGCTAATAAGGACTCCAGGGAATGAAAAATACATTTTAATATGTTTGGAAAGTAGTGCTTTGTTTGGAATGGCAGGTGTTTGTTGTGCTGGCATTGCAAAAACATTTGTTCTGCAAGGAAGAGGGAGCAACTTTCTGTTGATAATTAGAGCAATGGACAATCAGCAACTGTATGAAGTTTAACAAGGGCAAGTGCCAGATTCTGCACATGGGATGGAGCAAACCTGGTTGTGTGTATAGTCTGGGGGACAACAGGCTGGACAGCAGTGCCACTGAAAGGGTCCTTGGGGTCCTGATTGATGGCAAGTTGAATAGGAGTCATCAGTGTCCTGGCAACCAGGAGGGCCAACTGTGTCCTGGGGGGCATCAGGCAAAGCATGCCCAGCTGGGTGAGGGAGGGGATTGTCCTGCTCTGCTCTTGCTCTGAGGTGGCCTCACCTTGAATATTGTGTGCAATTTGGGGCACTGCAATATAAGAAAGACATTAAACTTTTAGGAGCTTAATGTCCTCAAAGGAGGGCAATGAGGATGATGAAGGAATCTAGAGGGGAAGCTGTATGAGGAGTGGCTGAGGTCACTTGGTCTGTTCAGCCTGGAGGAGACTGAGGGGAGACCACGTCATGGTCTTGAAGTTCCTCATGTTGGGGAAGGAGGGGAGCAGGCACTGATCTCATCCCTGTGGTGACCAGCAACAGTGCCCAAGAAAACAGCATGAAGTTGAGTCAGGAGAGGTTTGGGTTGGATATCAGGAAAAGGTTTTTCACCCAGAGGGTGGTTGTGCACTGGAACAGGCTCCCCAGGGAAGTGGTCACAGCACCAAGCCTGACAGACTTCAAGAAGAGTTTGAACAACACTCTCAGGCACATGGTGTGACTCTTGGTGTGTCCTGCATGGGGCTGGACTTGATAATCCCTGTGGGTCTCTTCCAACTCACCATATTATATGATTCTTGAAGAGAAGCACATTAGGTCTAGCTTTGTTTTATTTGCATTTTGAATGGAAAATATAGTAATCATAGTTTATAGATATTGCCACAATCTCATTGATAATGTTTATATTTTTACAATGAAAATGAGAAATTACTACCTAAAGCTGATATTGCAAAATAACTACACAGAAAGTTTATTTATTTGTGAGATGAAAACTGTTACTGCTAGGTCAATCTCCTAAAATTCCTCTGAATTATTTAATGAAATTTGGATTTAGTTTTGTTATAATAACAAGATGTATTAAGATTAATGTATGAATTCTTTTAATTATCTTATTTTTTGAAAAAAAAAACCCAAACAACAAAACCCGAAACTTAGTTCCAGGATCATTTCCAGAAGAATTTTCTAATGGCTACCTCCTAGGAGAAATTCTACACAAATATGGTCTTCAGGATGACTTTAAACAATTTTCCCAGAGCAGGTTAGTACTTATGGATAACGTGTCTTTTACATAAAGTAGATATATTTTAATATATTATACATATTTTCTCAGGATTTGTTTATGCAGAGTGAGTGGAAAACCACATAGAACTTAGTGAGATTTGAAACATTTTTCAGAGATTCAAAAGGTACTTGTGTGTGATGAATGAATGAGTGTCATATATCTAGGGAGACTGATCATACTTCTTTAAGAAAATCATGCATTTTGATTGTAACTACAATAGTAACAGGTTAGACTAAAAATTCAAAAAGCCTTTCAAGGATGTCTCTAGGGCTGGAAATACTGTCACTGTCCCTGTGAGCTGTGTAGAGCTGGGAATACAGAGCTGTGGTGTGGTGATGACCATTACATCTTCACTAAAATGAAAATGGTGGAGATCCATTTTGAGACTGAGTGAAGCACTGGCAGAAAATCATACAAGAATTTAGTTTAATAAACTTAGTTTACAAGTAATCTGGTGTAATATCTGTAATGAAGAAGAACTAAAAAATGTGAAGTTGAAAAGTCTTGTGCAGATCTGTGAGCTTTGGTACGTTGATGATGCAGTTCATGGGCTTCCTTGGCTTATGCATCAAGAGTGCCAGGCTGCATGAAATCTTCCTGTTTCTTCTGAACCTCTGTTTTTATGTTCTTTGAACTTCCCATGTATTCACACCCTTTCCTCTGCAAGTCCCACCAATTTGCAAGAGAGCAGCTTGAGTACAGCTAACAAAGGCAGCCAACAAAAAGCACTTTTGCACAGCAGTTTTGTGCTTTGCTTCTAGGACTTCTAGATCTCCCAGGAATTTGTGGGATCATTGGAAAGCCCTTGGTAACTCTTTGAGGAATTTAGAGTACCTGCTGTTGCTGGGAAAAATAACAGGCTTTTTCTTCTAGCAGGCTGTAGCAGCTTCTAACAAGTTCTCTTGATTCTTCCCAATGAAAGGGTGCTTTGAGGTGCAGTTAGTGAAGATTGCACTTCAGTAGGGGCAAGAAGTGGTTAGAAACTGCTGAGACAGTGTATGTGTGCTCAACAAGGGTGGTGATGTGTGACAGAGTATGATAACCAATACCCACTGGAGCAACTCCTTGGAATGTCAGAGGCCTCAAGTCAGTTTTCCCTCCAGAGGAAGGAGTCAATTCTCCCTGTCTCAGATTAAAGGGATTGTCCAGAGTCTTTACATCTTCATCAGTGGGAGGTGATGGCTTTGCCTGCAGAGGTGTGTGCTCATGGAGGAGCTGTGTTACCAAGTCAAGCTGCTGCAGAATGAGATCAGTGGATTGGACCTTCTTTGAGACACAGGATGCAGGAACCTGGACCTGCAGCTCTGCTGAGAGAGAGGAGGCAGAATCTGTACTGGTTGGGTTGGGAAAAGGAAACGACTGGCAAGGAGGTGACTTCTGGCAAGAAAAGGAAGGTGTCTCCTCCACCTGCTGATGTGAAGCTGTGGTAGCAGATAAGAGGTGGCACTGTGCAATAAAACATCTGAGCTCGTGAGGTCTAAACTACATGAGAGCACCGGAGGGAACAGGTAAGTGATAGCAGTGGGAGATAGAGGTGCCATCTGCTCACCTCACATGCTAGCCAAGGAGGGCTTACTGCATGCTGGAGCTTCAGTCCAAAGCTGCAGAGACTCGTCCAGAGCCTTTGCATTGTTATCCCTGCTGCTCTTCTCTGTTGGCACCAAGGATACTGCCAGAGAGACCTGGAGTCAAAAGCATGGGGCGAAAATACTTTTGTTTCCTTATTTCTGCTGGTGAGTTGGATGGGCTCAATGAGGAGTGGATAGATTCTACGGGTCAACAAGTGGTTGTGCAGCTGCTGTCAACAGCAGGGATTTGTTTTTCACAGCCATGGGATCCTCTTTCAAGAGGGAAGACTGCTAGGAAGGTATGGGATCCACCTGGCCAAGATGGATAAAAGAGTCTTTGAAACAGCCTGACAAATCTGGTGAGGATAGATGTAAACTAGGAATGAGGGGAAAAGGAGAGGATTACTCTCAAACAACTGAGGAAGTGATGATCTGGACTGGCAAGCAAGAGGAGGGTGATGTGAATAAGAGCAGCAAAACAGTGCAGAAGGCTTCCCACTCCAAATGCATGCATACAATTAAGGAAGTGCAGAAAAGATAAGATTATAGGATGAACATTCACACCTTTTCTAAATTTTTCTAAATTTTTTTAAAATCAACACAACTGGCTGCCTCTCTGAAGTGCCTGTATACTAAAACATGCAGCATGGGGATCAAACAGAAGAAAACAGAGGCCTGTGAGTTGTTGCTGACTATCATTGCAATCACAGAGAGGCAGTGGATTAGCTCACAAAACTGGAGTGCTGCCGGGGCTGGATACAGGCTCTTTAGGATGGACAAGCTGGGAAGGTGAGAAGGAAGAAGAGCTGTCCTGTATGTGAGAGAGCAGGTAAGATCCAAGACCTGCCTCTGTAGCAGCCATGCTGAGTTGTCTTCCTGCATAAAGATGGCAGAGTATGGCTCCATTGATCAGCCTCCCCTCTCAGGTCCTTGAGTATTCCTCAGACTGCCATGCTGAGGCTGAGATACTTAATGTCTTACTTACTCTGTCCTACTCTGTTCTACTGGTAAAACTCACACTCTGAATTCCCAAGCCCCTGAGGCTAACAGGAAAGTTTGCAGCAGTTGTTTACCCAGTGTGATCTTGAAAACCTCCAAGGATGGAGACTACACTAACTCTCCAGGCAATTTGTTTCAATGCTTGACTGTCCTCATGGTGAAAATGCCTTGTCTTATGCCTAGGCAAAAGGGCAATGAGAAGGGCTTTTACAGGTGTCCCCACAGCAAAAGAAAGGCTAGGGAAAATGTGGACCTATTGAGACATCCAAAAAGCTGCAACATCTCAAGCCCCTGAGACTTACAGGAAAGTCTGCAGCAAGAAAGATTTACCCATGGAGGAGGAACAGTTTAAGAAACATTTAAATATATTTGAAATATGCAAGTCCGTGGGACCTGATGACATATACCACCTAAGCTAAGGGACCCTGGCTGATATCAGTGCTTGACCACTCAATAATCTTTGAAAGGTCCTGATGACTGGGGAAGTTGCTGGGACTAGAAGACTGCAACTGCCACTTCTCTCTTCAAGGAATGCAAGGAGGGGGAATATAGGATGTACAAACCAGTCTGCTGCACCTTGCAGAATAAAAAGTTAAGACGTGGTGTCACCACAACCTCTCAGTACATGTGAGATGGTTTATGACAATAGGGCTCATCTTAACCTTGAATCAATGGCAGAAAAATGTTCAGTAGTTGGAAGCTGCAGTTATATATAATTGGGTAAAAAATAAGGCATGGACTATTATAGAGAGAATAATGAGCTCCTGGACAGTTTCATCTAAAAATAAGATGAATACTCTGTTACCAGAAGGTCTTCCGGTAAAATTGGGGCATTTTGGTAGAATTATGCTGGAGCTCAGCTGACCTCAAAAGCTGGTTGGTAGATATGAAGGAACTATTGTGAACTCAAGAGATAGAGCAGTATAGAAAGCATGATGTTCTGAGTCAGACTGAAGTTATGGATTTGTTGGATAATATTTGATGTGTTAGTTGTGATGAACTGATAATTTATTATTATTTGATTTTGCCCTGTATAGCTACTGATATTGACTGCTTTCATAGGAAAATCTGCATATCAAGAGAGCCAGTAATCTGCAAACCACTAGTTTAGCTTTGAATGTAAATTGCTCATTCTAACCTGTGTGTCCATTTCTTTTTATTGGAGAAGAAGTATGTCCAAGTGTTGTGAGAGTTAATGGCTACTACAGACTCTTTTTATCATTTCCTATGTTTTAACTGGTAAGAGCTCAAGTGATGATACAGCTCATACAGAAACTTCATTCAAACTCTGTGTGTGTTTTGTGGATGAGATACCATTAGCTGCAATTGGGGGTTAGCTTTTGCTGTCAGATGCAGTTTGTGTATTTACATATCAGGATTTATTATAATCCAATGTGTTCTTTGTTTTTTCCAGAAGTTATGCATAGTAATCAATGCAGTTATTTTATACTGCAGTATAAAACTTAAGCCAAACTGTGTAACCCATTATTTAAGGAAGTCCTCTGTGGGTTTTATTTTTTTCCTCCTCCTACCTTGGTATGAGATAAGTATCACAACCATGCATAATGCAACGAGTTGGAACTGAAAATAAGTGTGAAAATAAGTGAAAATTTTCTGGGTTTTGTTGTTGTTTTTAATCATATAGGGCTGCAGATGCGAAAGATAACAATTTTTCTCGCCTGGAACCTACACTTCACCTCCTTGGTGTGCAGTTTAATGAGAATGTGGCCCAAGACATCATGACAGGACAGCATGGGGCTGCAACAAAGCTTTTATATGAATTGTATGTTGCTTTAGAAAAAAAGAGAAAGGCAAAGCACCCTGGAGTAGTCATGGAAGCAATAAGACCCACAGCAACTACAAAGTCTATTGAGAGTGTTTTGTATCCGGAGGTAACTAGCTATGCCTATTTTGTATAAATAGAGAAAAGGTAGCATATTTACATGTACCTTTTAAGAGTATTGTGTGCTTCCCCTCCCCACTTTTTAAATCTCCTGTTCAAAACCCAACACTTACATTGAAAAGAAGGAGTCCTTTGCAATGTCTTATACAGTGACATTATACAGCTTATCAGTAACTCAATAGGATATTGATCTCCTGTGTTCTGTTTTCCTTTGTTTTGGTTCATCCTGTGTTACCTGCTCTATTTTCAAGTTTTCTCCAGACTTAAAATATTATAACAACAAAGGGTAATAGTTATTCAGCAGCTGCCTTTTTACTTTTACTGCTTCAGATTGCAGACTGCATTGTGGTCTAGGTATCAACTTAGACTAATTTCCCCTCCAGGAAGCCTGTTTATAACTGTGTTGAGCCTTGTGCCGCAATGATTTTTTCATTCTGTTGCTTGTCTCTCCATATATTTATACTACACTCCAGCCAGCAATAATCATGTGCTGGGTAACACAAAGAGAAAGAAACAAAGGGAAAAGAGGAAGTCAGTGTTGATGTAGTAGGTTCTGTTAAGGACATTCTTCTTGTTTTCAGCAGTAAGATTCAGCGTGTGCAAACCATTATTTGCTGGCAGAATGAGCAATTTTTAAGAAGCTATATATCAGGAATCAAATTTGGCTGGGGAAAATTTCACCTTTTTTTGGGCACACTTCCTGAAAAATAGTCTACAGGCAGAAATATTATGAACAAATGCAAGGATAGTGCCAGAGAGTTGAAATATCCCTTCACCTGTAGAGGGATAGCTTAAAGAAGTTAAGCAACTGCGAGTAGGTCCGATCTTTAGACAGAGTCAGAACTGCATTTGAATCATAGAATAACTGAGGCTAGAAGGGGCCTCTGGAAGTCACTCAGTCCATCCCCACTGCTCCAGGCAAAGCCAACTAGAGCAGGTTGCTCAGGGCCTTGTTCAGTGGGGTCTTGAATATCTCCAAAGCTGGAGACTTCAAAGCCTGTCTAAGTAAATTGGTTATCACCCTTTCAGTAATTTTTTCCTTGTGTTTAAGTTGAATTTCCTATATTTCAGTTTAAATAGAATAGAATATTTCAGTTAGAAGAGACCTACAATGATCATCTGGTTAAACTGCCAGACCGCTTCAGGGCTGACCAAAAGTTAAAACCTGTTTTTAAGGTCGTTGTCCAAATGCCTCTGAAACAGTGGCAGTCTTAGAGCATTGACCACCTCTCTAGGAAGCCGGTCTCGGTGTTTGACTACACTCTCAGTAAAGAAATGCTTCCTAACTTCCAGTCTGAACCTCCCCTGGTTCAGCATGGGATGAATCCCATGGCTGGATTGTGACTATCAGTGGTTACAGGCTGTTTAGAAGAGACTGAAGTGGAAGGAGAGGCAGATGCTTTGCCCTCTACATCAAGAGATGGATTGTGAAGAGTTGTCTCCAAGGGATAGGCATGAGCAGTTCCAAAGCCCATGGCTAAGAATCAGAGACCAAGACAAAAAAGGGAACCCTGTAGTTGGTGTCTGCTACAGTCCACCTGACCAAGAGGAGCCTATTGACAAAGCCTTCTTACTCCAGCTACAGGAGGCATTGTGCTCAAAGGCTCTTGTCCTGCTGCAGGACTTTAGCCACCCTGACATTTGCTGGAAAAGTAGCACAGAGACTCCTGGAATGCCTGAGGAATAACTTCCTGGCCCAAGAAATAGCCCAGAGGGGATGTGTTCCTTGATCCGTGTGTCACCACTGCAAACAAAATAATTGGGGACATCAAGACTGTAGGCAGCCTGGGTTAGAGTGATTATGCATTCGTGGAGTTTGCAGTCCTGAGGCATGTGGGTCAGGTGAGGAGTAAAGTTAGGTCCCTGAACTTTAGGAAAGCAGGCGTTCAGCTCTTCAGGGAGATAGTCAGTGGGATCCCCTGGCAGACTGCCCACAGAGACAGAGCTGAAACATCTTTAAGGAAGTCTTCTATAGAGTGCAAGAGCTAGCAATCACTAGGAGCAAGAAGTCAGGCAAGGAAGGCAAGAGACCGACGTGGCTGCTATGCAAATGCATGGGCAGTTGAAGCTAGGAAAGTTGAGCTGGGAAGAGTATGGAGGGGAAGTTTGGTTGTGTAGGGATGGGATGAAAAAGACCATGTCAAAGCTAAAACTGTAGCAAGGGACATAAAGAATAACAGGAAGGGCTTCGACAGGTGTGTTAATCAGAAAAGGAAGGTCAAAGAAAGTGGACCCCCTTTGGTAAAAAGCCCTGGGAAACTGGTAACAACAGATGAGGAGAAGGCTGCAGTACTTAAGAACTCTTTTGCCTCAGTCTTAACTACACCTCTTGAGTGGATGGACAGCAGGATGGGGACTGGGGGAGCAAAGTCCTTCCCACTGTAAGTAGAGACCAGGTCCATGACCACCTGAGTAAATAAGGTACGTAACGTACCATCATGTATGTAAGTTTATGGGGCCCCATGAGATCCATCACAGAGTCCTGAGGGAATTGGCTGATGTAGTTCCCAAGCCGTTCTCCATGATGTTTGAAAAGTCATGGCCATTAGGTGAAGTCCCACGTGACTGGAAAAAGGGAAACATTGCCCATTTTTAACAAGGGTAGAAAGGAGACCCTGGGAACTACTGACTTCCAGCCTCACCTCTGTGCTTGGTAAGATCATGGAACTCATCCTCCTAGAAGCTGTACTAAGGCACATGGAGGACAGGGAGGTGGTTTGAGACAACTAGCATGGCTTCACCAAGGGCAAGTCTTGCCTGACCAATACGATCATGACCTTCTGTCATGGAGTGACTACGACAGTGGACAAGGAAAGGGCTACAGATGTTGTTTATCTGGACTTCTGTAAAGCCTTTGACATGGTCCCCCACAAAACCTTCTCTCTAAGTTGGAGAGACATGGATTTGGTGGGTGGAATGTTCAGTGAGTAAGGAACTGCCTTGATGGTCACTACCAGAGGGGGGTAGTCAATGGCTCAGAGTCCCGATGGATGTCACTGACAAGTGGTGTCCCTCAGGGGTCCGTATTGGGACCAGTGTTATTTAATATCTTCATCAATGACAAAGTGATCAAGTGCCCCCTCAGCAAATTTGCAGATGACACCAAGGTGAGAGGTGCGGTTGCCAACCCTGAAGGACAGGATGCCATCCAAAGGGACCTAGACAAGCCTGAGCAGTGGATCCATGGGAATCTCATGCCCTGAGTCAGGGCAACCCCTGGTATCAGTCCAGGCAAATGAAGAGCAGCCCAGGCAAGAAGGACTGGGGGGTGCTGGTGGGTGAGAGGCTGGACATGACCCGGCCATGTGCACTCACAGCCCAGAAAGCCAATCTTGTCCTGGGCTGCCTCAAAAGCAGTCAAGGTCAAGGGAGGGGATTCTGCCTCTCTGCTCCTCCCTGATGAGACCCCACCTGGAGCACTGCATCCAACTCTGGGATTGTCAGCACAGGCAGGACATTGACCTGTTGTAGTGACTCCAGAGGAGGCCACCAAGCTGATCAGAGGGATGGAGCACCTCTCCTACCAGGCAAGGCTGAGAGAATTGGGATTGTTCAGCCTGGAGAAGTCTTCCAAATGACCTAATTGTGGCCTTTGAGTGCCTGAAGGGAGCCTGCAAGAAAGATGGAGAGAGGCTGTTTAGAAGAGCATGTAGTGACAGCACAAGGAGGAATTTAGATTAAGTTTCAGAGTAGGTTTAGATTCAGTATTAAGAAAAAATCCTTTACTATAAGGGTAGTGAGGCACTGGCACAGGGAAGCCTGTGGATGCCCCATCCCTGGGAGTGTTGAAGACCAGGATGGATGGAACTTCGAGCAACCTGGTCTAGTAGCAGGTGTTTCTGCCCAGGGCAGGAGGGTTGGAACTAGGTGATCTTAAAGGTCCTTTCTAATCCAAACCATGCGGTGATCCTATGATTCTATGATTCTATTCCTACATGTCCTCTCACTGGATAACAAGGAAGAAGAGCACAGCACCTCCCTCTGCATTTCCCCTCCTGAATAAGCTCTGCAAAGCAATGTGTCCTTTTCTCTAAACTAAACAAAACTTAGCATCATTCAAATTCAAATCTCTGTTCTTTTCAATGAAGCTAGTCCTGGTTTTCTATTCAAATATGTTTAGATGTTTTTTCTGTGCCCATTAACACAGGAAAACACCGTTTGAAATAAACATCTTGAGATTATAATATTTAATTATGTTTATTACTGTTTCTGACTCTTTGTTGCTTAATGTTTAATTTTAGCGTTTGAAAACTTTAGTGCCACGTCAGGCTGATTTGCAGCTACAGCAGATTTCGGAGCGTTTTGAAACAAAATCCAAGGCAGTAGCAGATAAAATAGCTCGTACACATTTTGCAGAGCAGCAGAGAGCTCAGAAGCTCCAAGAAGGGCAGAGAGCTCAAGACATTGAAAAGGTGACGGCTTACTTTTTATAGACTTCCAAAGATGTGTTTTCTTAAGGATATGTGCTTAATGGATTAGTTAAAGCCAATGGGAAGGCTTCTTAATTCTGTGCTGCACAGTCATGTTTATGCAAGAACAAGGGATAGGACTATGCATGGAAATCCTTAACATGTAGACACAGAGTCAGTATACTCTTATGTGACTTTGAAAATGTTACTATTTAAAAGTCACATAATTTTAAATTAAGAGTACTTGTGTTTTGTCATCCATGGAAAATATCTATAGTCTTGAAGACTGAGTGTAAATTTCACAACTTGTATTTGTTTGAGATGTCCTTGTAAAAGAGGTTTGTGGCATTCTTATTTTGTAAAGAGAAGATGAAGCATTGTTCAAAAGCAGGAAAAGATGGGGAAAGAGGGTCTAGTGGGTATGCCCTCAGAACATCTTATGTTTCTGTATCGCTATTCTGATAAAGTAAAAAAAGAGGGAGGAATTTGTTTAGACATGGGAACACTCATCTGAAGTACACCTTACAGTTTATATAGAGGAAATGTCAAGCTATCCAGGAGGTGTTGAACCACATTGAGGATGTAGTTGAATAATTTGATATGTGTTTTATATGGCTAACTAAGGGACAGAGTCTTGCTGTGATTATTTAGCTGTTCTATTGTCACTACATGAACAAGAAGGAAAAGTCAATTCGTGTATCTAGAAAAGAAATACAAACAATATCCAAAATATAACAAAAAAATTTTAAAGAAAATTTATTAATATCTTTTTTAACATATATTTTAACTGTCTTTGACTTTTTTGTATAAAAACTAATTTTTTCCCCTTATATCAACCTTTACCCACGTTTCTGTAGTGCACTTTAAATGAGTGTAATTTATATGTTTTTTACTTCTTGATCATCTGAGACTCACTGTTCACCAGTAGTATTACCTAATGGTATTCTCATTTTCTGTACCAGGAAACTGGTATTCTCAGTTTCTGTTCTGTATTCAGACCTGAAAAAGGTAATGAACTGGAATTCAATGAAAGCTGCTAAATGCTTATAAGGCACCGACCCTTTGCTGTCATATAAATATGTTAAATATATATATATATATACACACACAATATATATATACACACTATATATATATATATACTACTATAAGTATATATATTTATATATATAAAATATACCCTATTACTTCAGAAGTATTTAGGTAGTATATTAGGGCCCTATGTTGTATTTTGTTTCAACCTGTGTATTTGAACACAAGATGTTGAATATTCAGGATCACATAGGAAGAAGAAGACAAAATGAAGTAGAGCACAGGATTCAAACAGCTGTTTTAAAGGTTCCAAAGCCTCCACCAAGACCCACCATAAAAGCTATTGAAGCTAAAAAATTATTAAAGAAAAGAGAAGCAGAGGTAATTATCATCCATGTTCTTTTAATGTTAATTATATTGATTCAGCTTGATTTTTGGGAACATTTACACTTACAAATACTGTACTTGCATCATCCAAAAGCAGCTGATATATAACTGTTAAAATAATATAGTAGACTCAGCCAGTGAAAATTGGACTGAATACTTATATGATCATAATTCTGCATTTCTTTCTTAATAAAAACTGTTCTGATGTAAGAGAAAATTCATATTGAATATATACCATAGGTAGGTACTAATTTGATTTCTAAAACTATTTTACATTCTAGTCTATTGAGTTGAATATGTGAAATAAAAGCATTAACATTCCTTTCTCATTTGTGCATGATAAAGTTTTGCACGATAATATTTGAACTGTTCTGTAACACTCTGTAAAGCTGTCTGCTCCATTAAAAATGTTAGTAATAGCTGAAATTGACAATTGTCTTAAATCAGGAGATGATAGCAATGCACCATTAAAAAAAAAATCTTTATTATCTAGTACAGAGAAGTACTTGGATTGTAATTCAAGTTCCTGGATTGTATTGTCCTCAGGAGTGCAACTATTACCAGTTTTTATAGTGGTGCAACTGTCACAGATGTATTTAAATATAGAGTGTAGTAACATAGTTGCTTGAGTAACTATTGGGGATACATTCAAGCTACTGATTCAAAAGCAGATCATAGCCCAGATTATCCTTTCAAATCCCTGAATGGTGAGAATTATGTAAACTGCTAAAGTCCTACAAAAAATCAGAATTGTTGTGCAGAATGAACAGCTGCAAATTTTTAGGTTATTCTGGTTGGTGGAAGTAGGTGTAGCTAGGGAAAGGGAACAGGGGAAAAAAGTGGAAAGCAGGAGATGGAAATAATCTTACCTTTATTCTTGATCTAGCTGATGCTTAAAGTATTTTCAGTGTAAGCCTTTCTGTTGTACATACATGACATAAAAGTAATTCCCTAATACTTATTCTGTTGAACCTTCTTTCTGATGTTTTGTGAAGAGAAAGGAAACATTAAATTTTATGTTACTTCTTCAGAACGTGTACAAGGAAATAGACAAGTTTGAGAAGTCTATGGCAGGAAATGCCTTTGAATTACACAGCCAGGTGACTGACAGGTAATATTTGGATATTAGATTGTTAAGAATAGACAGGATCCTACCTCAGGTGTCTGCTATCTATGTATGCACCTACTTGAGGAAAAAGTAATGTCTCATTTGGTTCAAACTGTGATTGTTCTTTGAGTGATTGTCCTACTGCAAATATTTTAATTCCAACACGATTGAAGTGTCTTTACCTTACCTTTAGTTGTAGCAGGGATGGCTCAAGCTTCCTCCACCAGTTTTTGTCACATATACAGCAAGAAAGGGCTCAAAATGCATGTCTTCTCTTAATTTTAGTCATTGGGTCTATAAGGTCATTTAGCCTTGCAGAGATGTGGGAATGGCTGTGAATATACATACACACTAATTTCAAAGGTAATAGAGAAGTAACTTTCTTCCTGAAACTTGACTGTATGTTGCAGTAATAGTCATTCTGTTATCTGTATTGATATGTATACCCTACTGTCAAGAGGTGATAGTCCTGAATACTTCTGTAGATGTTTCTGTGTGTAAACCTGTGATTAATAACTGCAAAACTGTACTCAGAGTGCATGGATATCTTGAGGAGTAACCCAAGTAACAAAGGCACCAAGTAGCCGCAGTACCCATATAGTGATGTTGTACAGTTGTTAGACTTGCATATAGCTATATAGGGATCTGTATGTAAACTGCTTTAGAACCATAATTCCTATAAAGTCAGAGATCTTTCTCTTTTTAATCTTTTCAATCAGTGATATGCAAGAGTCATTGCAAACACAGAAGTTGCAAGAAACAACTCAAGAAACTACAGCACAGACAAAACCTGAGCTGTTAAGTGTTTATTCAGATGGTGAATATATAAAGAAAATTCAAAAACGTTTAGAGGAAGATACATTTGCTAGAGAACAACGAGCAAAGAGACGACGAAAGATGCTAATGGACCAGTTACTAGCACACGAATCTGAAGAGGTGAGAAATTGTATGCTCAACTGTAGAGTCCATGTGCAGTTAGCAATCTAAAAATTTGCTTACAAATATAAAATCAGAACACTTTTGGAGGAGATAAAGGAAGATATATGCACTTACATCTGAAAAATATTTTTATGCCAACCATTGACTTTCCTTGAGAAATAGAGAAGGTTATTTGTTCTTTCTCACAACCTTTATGTCATACACCATGCTTACAAACCACAAAGGATTAAATAAAGGCATCAGAGCAAAGATTGTAAAAGTCAGTTGAAGATCTGCCTTGTATTCTCTGCCACCCCTCCCCCGAAGTTGAACAAAGAGAAGAATCAAAACTTAATTTGCAGGTCAGAGCTTTGATTTTTGGTGTGCTATGAAATAGAAGATATATCTCTGGACAATGTCTGTCTTCTGTCTAAAAATGGATGTTGCAGGTTATTCCATTTAAATCCTGTCCTGTAAAGCACAAGGCTTTTGAGATTTCTCTTCAGATACTCCTCATTCAAAAAGCAGCTCTTAGATTACTGATTTCACGTGTCTTCTCTTTTGTAGTGATTGTATAGAAATAGAACTTGTAATTTACTGGGTTTCTGTGATTTCTGGTTATCATTTATTTTAGCATTTCACTGTGAGTCCTTAGCTTAGATCATACATGTTGAACCCATTATAGCTGGACCTTTCTCCACTGCTACTGCATAATAACAGCATTTCAGATGTGTCCCATATATTTTATATATATGTATATGTTTTTAAGCCTTTACATGTAATGTCTGGAGATTGAAGAGGAAACTGAGGGGAGACCTCATCCAGGTCTGCAACTTCCTTGCAGGGGGGAAGAGAAGGGGCAGGCACTGATCTCTTCTCTGTGGTGACCAGTGAGAGGACCCAAGGGAGTGACCTGAAATTGTGTCGGCGGAGGTTTAGGTTGGATATCAGGAAAAGGTTCTTCACTCAAAGGGTAATTGGGTACCAGAACAGGCTCTCCAGAAAAGTGGTCATGGCACCAAGCCTAACAGAGTTCAAGAAGCATTTGGATAATAATTTCAGGCACATGGTGTGACTTTTGGGGCTGGTCCTGTGCAGGGCCAGGAGTTGAACTCGATGATCCTTGTGGGTCCCTTCCAACTCTGCATATTCTGTGGTTCTGTGAGACCTTTTGGAAATGTTAAGAAAAAATTTTATTTGTTGAGGGAGTCATCTAACAATTAGATGCTTCTCAATGTCTATCTCAGATGTATATTCTTGAAAAACACCTGTAGTAGCTTAGACCAAGAGTGCATCTGTCCATGTATCCTGTCTCTCAGTTCTCATTCAAAGAGATTTTACATCGTGTTCTTGATGTTATCCATAGGCTGTGAGAAGTTTTGCAATCCACTTGCCTGAAATCACTGCAGTCCCAAAACTTGCTCTTTGGGTCTCAACTCTTGCAGCCCTGGCAGCCTGGACTAGTGGTTCCAAAAGTCTTAATGCCCCGTAGGTATTAGGATCAGTCACTGGGGTGCTTGGTGGATTCAGCAGCTCTAAGCCAGCAAAGGCAGCCAGTGCTGTGAGGAGATCACACAGCTGGTCCACCTGAGGTGTAGGACAGGGCTTGTCAGTTTGGGATGGAGGAACTGTTCCAATGTGCTGTCAATCAGATAGGCTCCAGAGAGGCTCCAAATCAAGGCAAAACTAACAATAGTGTTCCTGAATTCACAGGGGAAAAAAAAAATCGGCTTTGATGCAGGAACAATTGAAGTCACAGACTGCAGGGATTAGAAAGACAAGACAAGTGAGCATTTGACTGGAACAGTGGTCTGACCAGATGAGAGAATTTGTTTAGTGGCAATTTGGTTCTAAATTAGCAGAGGAAGAGATGTTTGGTTGGAACTTCAAGATTTCAAAAATTAGATGCTGCTTGACTTAAGAGAAGTGGGAAGCAAACTAAGGTATTTTCTTTAAAAAATAAATGAATATACAAGTAGTTGAAGATTAAATTTCCCCTCCATTACGTGCTGAACCAGAAAGTATTTTCACAACGAAACTGTAGCTGCCTTGTAGGTATTAGGATTAGGATTTTACCTATACAGTGTAAACCTTGAACGTGGCATGGGATCATTCAGAGTCAAATGAATTTTATCCCTTCAGAGTGTGGTAGATTGTTTTGAATACATGCTTATAGACCTTACTAAAAGAACTTTGTTCATTTTTTTTTTTTATTTTTGGCACTTTACAGGTTGAAGACTGGGAGAGAAAATACTTTACAATTATATGACTACCCTTTGTAGAGCACAGCATGATGCCAGTCAGATTTTCATAGAGAGGTGTTGAAAGTGTTTGACAGTAATATGGCTTCATCCCTTTTGAACCTTTATCTCTACCATTTCAACAAATTATTTGTACTTTGTGCTTGTTATTTTTAGGTGCTTTGTTCAGATTTTATCTCTCTGAATTAAAAAGTTACCAGGAATAAGTTACTTTCAGCAATAAATTGAGAACATGAAAATGGGAGGAGAAATGAAGTGTTACTAGCTTATTAGTTGTATATAAACAAATAGATTTATGTGTGCTGAACTGTAATCTTTGGTCATAAATGTTATGACCATACAACAGCACAAAATTGTTTCACTTGTATGTAAATCAAACAAGGAAATAGAAAAATAGAAACGTGATATAGTAATTATGTATGAACAACATGAAACATACACACGTTATAATTTGGCCACTGGATGCCACTGTTGTCTCAAGTAGGTAAGCTGGAAAAAAGTGTGTATCATGCTCTTTTAATAGTAATTTTTCAAATTATTACACAGGTGTCCCAATTATGATATTTATGATTTCTTCAAACACTTCACAGTCCTCTGTGAAGATGTTGATGTAAAATTTTAGGTCAAAAAATGGTATTAAATTTTTTATTTTGTCTTCTACTATGTCTAGAAGTTTTAAAACTTGTTAGCATTCGGTTTGACTACTTTGTCCATTCCTTTTTGTATGAAAGATAGCTACCAGTGCTTCCATTCCCCACCCAATAAGCAACCTCTCTGAAACTATGAGTTTGATGTTCTGAATCCTTACTTATCTGTTGTGTATCTTTGAGTTAATTGCCTTTTCATTTATTCTTGTTCCTCAGAAATTTCCTACTAGCTCTTTTTAGGCCTAATGAGCATGCCAAAATATTTGATCACTTAGAATATTGAAGTTCTTTTGGCTGCTGTAAAGTGTTCTAAAGGAGCATCTACCCATTTGCTTTAGGAAGGGGACATTCACCTACATAAGGTGGTTTCATTTCCCACTGGACCAACTTTTTGCACCATTAAGCTGATGGTTTGAGTATGACAAATGACCACTCTGTTAGGTTGGCTCCTTCAATTCCCTCTGAATTAGGGTTTTAAAATCCATTTTCTTCTGGTGAAGTACCTACTGCTGTAATGGCTGAAGGTAAGCAGTAGCAACTACAGAAAATAATGAAGGATATTTACTTGCAATAGGAAACACACTGTGCATTTTCTACTCTTCTTTGACATCTTAATGAAATACTAAGTCCAAAGTAGGAGTGGATAGAACTGAGATGGCAAAGGATGCTGTTACTCCTTTTGTTGCCTTGAGGTCAGGAATGTAGGAGAAAATGGACAGACTAACTCTTCAGTAGGCAGTACTATTGGAAAAATTTATCACCTGAACTATATCAAGTGACACATAGAATGAATATAAAATTGCTCTGATTGCGTTGTTTTCCACTTCAGTTGCATGCATGATGATAATTCCCTCCATAGAAAAATAGCTTACAAACAGTACACTACAAATAGGGTACAAAGCACAACACATTCAAAATTAGTCCCTCATTTTGAGAAAAGCTTTGTATAGAGACAAATATGATGTGGGTGAACCACTCTGGGATTAAAGCCTGAGGTGACTACATCTATCATTAGAAGTACCATGCAGTGTTATGAGATATGGTGCTAGGAAAGGGGAGTACAAAGCCCACATTTTGGCTAAAATAAGAAAAATGTTGAGATATTTTTATATCAGTTTAATATTTTCAAGTCACCAGTATTTAATTGGAATGTACTTCATTCCCAGGAATTGTGAAGGGAAAAGAACTTAAAAATAAGGAAAGAGGTTGTTTTTGTTTGTTTTTTTTTTTTAAGTTGGCTTCTTCCCAACATCAATATTAAATAAATTATTTAGAAAGTTGTTGTTTTTATTATTGAAACTCAAATAGCCATGCTGTGCATAAAAATTTTTTTACAGGTGTCCTGGTTTGCATTGTGTAGCATCGATCCAGACCTCTTTGTAGAGTTCTTTCATAAATAATATGATAGTATGTAATCAAATTGGATATTCTGATTATAGTTGTATTTATGTAATGTATTTTGCCCTCTTTGTCACAGACAGCTGATGAAAAAATAAACCAGATAAAAGAAAATAGATATGATATTTTCTTTTGATTTGGGTTTTTTTTTTACTAATAACTGGTTTTACTGTGCCCGTGTTCTTAGGAAAATGAATTTGAAATATTCAAATCAGTGCCCAGTTTAGGTCCTTACATTGGAAAATATTTCCTAGCAGTTATGCTGCATGTGAAACAAATATTCAGCAAATCAGATATTTCCTCTAGAATTCTGCTGTAGTGGTATTTGGCAATGGGGTTTGAAAGGCAAGCTGATGTTTTTGCTTCCCTCAGGACTCAGAAGTGAAGCAAAACTTCAGATTAGGTTAAGCATTAGTTTACATACCAGGAACAGGCTAGAGAAGTGTAGTAGTGATAAGATACTATTATGTTTTGAGAGCACTCAGAAAAATAAGAATCCATAGCCTTGAAAGTGTCTGTGTACACAGACCATCCCTCAAGCAATGGTTCAGAATGATTTTCCCATAGTACTGAATAGGGTATTGTATCCATGTCCCAGTGAGAACACTGGAACTGTTGCCCAGAAGTCTTGTATATTGCTCTGTTTTGAATGCTTCCTCATATTCCCAGTCTTCTGAATAGAGGAGAATGGAGAAGATAATTACCCAAATCCCCAGAAAGAAGGAAAAATTTCAAACCTGTAGAAAAGAGAGTGATCAAGGATCCAGTAAAATGTGGCTGAGAATGGGGACTGGTGAATAGCAGAAATAAGTTCATTATTTGAGGAAAGAGTATATCTTTAGATACAGAAGTCATTATTTCAAATATTCTGCAGTTTCTTTGCACACAGGAAATAACTACATTAAAATTAAGTTATGGCAAATATGTTTTTACTGAGTATCTCAGTTAAGACATAGTTAGAATTCTCTTCTCTAGTTCTACAATTCTTACATAAATACTGCTGCTGTAAATCCTTACATAAATAATGCTATTACTTACAAAGGTAGTACTAATAAATAGGTATGATTATTGTTCTGGATTTCTGTATCATATAAACTGGTGAATGCTGTTATATGACTCCACTCATGTTTCTCATATGAGACCCTTATGAGTTGTCTAGGAAGTAGTTTACAAATGGTGCTTAGTAGCATTATTTTATATCTTTTAGAAGGCTTACCGGGAGGAGCAGCTTATTTACAGACTAATGAAACAATCTCAGCACGAGCGGAGGATTGCTACTCAACTCATGCACGTTCGACATGAAAAAGAGGTGTTAAGGCAAAACAGGATCTTTAGGGAAAAACAATATGAAGAAAGACGGCAAAAAGAGTTCCAGGAAGCACTTGACAGAGAAGCGGTAAAAGATTGGTTTGCTCTCTGAATTGCTACAGGACAATTAGAATACCTTCATGTTATTAAATGAAATTTGTATTGTCAGCTTCAAGACAGGATGATTTAATGATAAATATATTCTTTTATTTTTTAGTTCAAAGTTACAGCTAATGTGGGTGATAAGCAATAAGCATATAACTGTAATTGTGGAATGGAGAACATTTTGTAGTGAGTTAAAACTTTAGGGGAATTATGTAGGGAGGGAGGAAGAACAGCCGCCCATGGCAGGGGGATAATAAGCGATAAAGCAGAGCAACTTAAAGTCTAATTTTGATCTTTTTTTGTATACTAATTTTAACTTTGTAGGAAAACATCTCTGTGTGCTGAATTTAAAAGGCACAGTCTTGCAGAGGCAACAGGACAAAAGACGATAACCTAAGATCTTGTTTTAAATTTCATGTTTTAAATTTCACTTAGATATAATTAATGTCCATTTTTGACAAAAGCTGGAGTAGTTTCACTCATAAGTGCTAATTTCTCTCTACCTTGAAGTTTTCAGTTGATTAAAAGGACTTATAATTCTGTGGAAAACTGCCCAGTGCAATGCTCATAGTAGGCCATAATGTGATCCTGTCAAAAATGATTAGCAACTCCAAATCCTCCAGCACAGCTGGAGTCCTGTGTAATCAGCAGCTATCTCATCTCTTTAAGTACATCTCTTTAAGTATGCTTTCAGCCAAAAGCAGCACACCATCACAGGAATAATTTTCTACTATGACCAGAAATCTTTTTCAAAGATTGAACAACATCAATACTTTAAAATTATTTGAAGATCAGAATCTAATAAGATAAATTACTTGTCACATTTTCTGAATGAGTAATTCCACTGAAACCTGCAATTTCACTACCCCCAAGCACTCAATATGTTCTTAATCTCTTTGTCATGGAAGAAGTAATGCATTTCTCCTTTACTTTATTGTATTTTAGCAGTTAGAAAGCAAACAAAGTGGAATTTATAGAATTAATAAAAGTTTTTGGATTTGTTCATATGTTAGTCTGCTTACTGGCTCTGCAACTCTGGTGAGAAATGAGCTGTTTCTCTTTCCTGACTTAAATGAACAAGTTAATTTTCGTTTCCAGGACTGTGCACCTCTGCACTTTCTTTTTCATTGCAGTCTCAGATTTACTTTTAAAAAAATTCCAGGCTCTTGCAAGACAAGAAAATATTGATAATGAAGAACAAATAATTAAAGAGAGAGAACAGCATGAGAAACTTGCTGCTGAAAGAGCTCAGGCCCGCTATGAAAAACATTATTCTGTGTGCTGGGAAGTGATGGGCCAGATCATTGATATGTCAACAAAAATAGGAGAATATCGTGAACTGACAAAGAAGTGAGTATGGTAGCTGCTAGGCAAAAATAACAGCTGTAAGGTAGCTGTTAGGCTGTGTTATTCAAACTGCTGTAAGCACTGTAACAAATTATGTAGTTTCTCAGACATTTTACATGACAGCTTCAGTTAGTTTTTGTGGGAAAATGATAAGATTAGTTTTGCGTGAGAATTCGCTGGTGTGTAATACAGAGTGAACTACCGCTACAGGCTTTGTATAATTTCTTGAAGATGCTTAGGAGAATCCTTAGGAGACCAAAATCCTCTAGTGCCACAGCTTGTGGAACTACTGATTTCCTTTCTTATGAACAAATTGTTTAGTTAAAAGTTAAAAACTGAATGGTGTCTAGATGGATCTACTGGCTGAACACTTCCTCAGTGTAGTATAAACTGGATGAATTTCCTAAGTCCTGCCTGGACTGTCCAAAGAGTAGCAACTGAGCCCAAGTTCTACTGAGTCCTACATTCTGTGATTCCCTCAGCTGACATGCCCTAATTGCACAGGGTTTCTGAGAAGGCCCTAAAAAGGCAATAATCTCCAAGTAACTGTGCTGTAGAAGTGTTTTAAAACCTCCAGAGTGGGGTTTTGTAGCTGTAGGTCTTTCATTAGTATTCAGTGATTTGACTATGGGGTAAGACTCACAGTGTTAGAAAGTATACCAAAATCTTAATTGCTTTTTAATGTAATTGTATGTTAAAATAATAAATATGAAATGCATTTGAAATACATCTGATTATGTTTTATAGAAATTAGATAAATTTAGGCCCAGTAGTTACATGATAAAATAGTCAGCCTAGACATAATTTAGTGAAATTACTAATTAAAAAAAAAAAGGAGTTTAACTATTTATACAATTCTAAATTAATTTTAAGTTGCAGTAAAAATATTCTATAGATTTTTGGCAAGAGAAGGCTTTATCCCACAAAACTAGAAACATTTTGAGGCTGGCAAAAATAGCTATAGCAAAACTGTTACTACACAGCTCTGCCAGCCAAATGTTCTGTGATAACACATTTGTGAAAATACTGAAGCCTACAAGTGCCTACAGCTGTCTTATAAGTAAACAAACATTTACAAAAAGCTGTAATAATTACAGAAATCATTATAAGCTGTAACTAGTTTAGCATATACTTGTTCCGTGATTAAGATTCTTGTAAATTTGGGTCCACCACTGTCAAACATCTAACCCTTTAATTTTTGATTTGGAACTGTTTGGTTTTGTTTTTCTTTTTCCTGCAGCCGAGTTCCATTAAAACTGATGCTGGATTGGAAGGAATTTTTTTTAAATGGAAAACCAATATATGAACAAGCCTCAATTCAACCTTTGCCAAATGAACCTGGACCGGAACAACTTGTAGAGATGAATAAAATGAGTCTGTTAGCTGAAAAAGATTATGGTGAATACAAGGTACACCAAACTGATAACACATAATGGAAGATAATACACCTTACATTTTCAACGAACTGGAATTTGGAAGTATCGTTTATATTACCAGGTTTGAAAATGCAACAGAAAGTAACAAGTAAAAGCAGTAAAATTAAATACTATATATGTTACAATACCAAAAGTCTTAATTTCAGCAATTTTGAGTGAAAGCTTTCTAACAAGATTAATTGGTTTGAGTGATCCATTCATTTTAAGATAGTAATGTTTGTGAAAATTATTAAAAATGGCTGACATTTTTCTTAATCTTCCATTGGAATAGAAGAAACTATTTTTCAGGGTACCTTAAAACTTTTCTTCAACTTTACAATATGTTAGTGTAATTTCAAAATTTGAAGATGAAGGATGAATGTTTCCCTGTTAAAATGTATAGTACAATTTTCTGGAAGTTACGTTTATGATGCTTTTCTTCAGGGAAAAAAAACAAATCCCACTACATATTTAGACTTGTCCAATAACCTGATAAATAGAATGTGGCAAAATCATGGCAAATAACCTGTCCTTATCTTGTTGGGAATTTATAACTACAATATATATGTGCTTTTACCCACATCCTGAGACAACTGGCACATTTTCTTTTGCAATGAGTATAAATGTTATGAGTTTCTGTGGCTTTAGTCTTAACATATGTTTTTCTGATGTGTCTCTTTTTAAGGTCCTTACTCACAGCATACCATCTCATGTAAAGAATTTCATGATCACTTTTTTAGGTGAAAAAAAGGCCTATACCCGAAGTAAACAGGAAGGACATACAGGACAGACAGGCAGGAAACAGTGGGGAGCGATGAAAATGAAGTTTTTGGTCATATTGTTTATATTATAAAGTCCTCTCTAGATGTAACATTAGTGAAGGTCACAAAGATTTATTGACACATTTAAAGCCTCTTTTTTCCTGCCAGGCTATTTCAAATGCACAGTCACGTAATTAATTTATTCACAGATGTTGTTGCCTTTCTGAATCATTATTCATCAAAAGCTGATATAATATGACTTGTAAAATTGTTGGCATCAATTCATACTTATGTCTTCTGAAAACCTAAGTGAACAGCTAATGCTTTCAAAGTATTGCTTCTAGGTAAAAGTGTATTAGTAGGGCATTCTGGCAATGTTTATGCTCATTTTCCTAAACCTTGTGTAAAAAGCCCAGGACAGGCAATTTGGCATCTCTCAAGAATACTAAGTTTACATGACATATTGACTAAAAGTGTCAAGTATATTTCATAAAATACAAGAAAATGCAGTGCTATCAGTCCATTGAACATTATACATTAGATTTAGCATGAAAATATTTGGAAACTACCATATTATCAGTCATGGCTAATCCCATAATAAATCACCCAAAACAAGCATAACATTAGGTAGTGCTTAAAATAGCAAATTACTTCCAAATGAAACTGGAAATTTTGACCAGGAGTTATATAACTGTCACCTGGATACCTGAAAACTTATTTCTGACAGGGAAACTACTTTACCTCAGGGCAGGTGCAGTCTAGCAATTTTCAGTTTAAAAGGGCAAGAAAGCTAAAAGGTGGAGAAAACCATTCCATTTGGAATTAATTTTTCTCCAAGGTCTAATAAAATTTAAAACAACTGATCCATCTGTGCTTATATGTTTAAGGAAAAATGGTTCAGATAGGAACAGGATTTGGGGTTTTGTAAGGATGTCTTTTCAATTACATATGAAGAAGTATATTTCCTGAGATGTTTTGGAAAGGGGATATTGTGCAACTCAAAAAGATTTTTTTTTTGTTGTTTTATTGATTTGAAATTTTATTTGAAATTTAATTTAGAGTGATAATTAACATTGTGTTTTTCTATCTAATACACATAAGTTCAAAATGAACAGTGATCAAATCCTATTAGTAGAATGTATGCTGTGGCAATACATCATTCAGATAGTAGATTCAGGAAAAGGTTACGTATTCTATCCAGAATATGAATTCAGAACATTAACTTTCAGTAGAATTTTAAAACTGTTCACTTTTGTTGATGGTGATGAAATATTTAATTTTATATATATGTGTACATGCATATATATGAGATAGACATATATATTTATTTTATATATTAGATACATAATTTTATAGAATGACACAGTTGTTTGCATTTGAAGAGATGTGAAAGTCATTTAGTTCAACCTCTTCGCTTAAAACAGGGCCAACATCTCAGTCAGATAAGTTGCTCAACACTTTGTCTGGTCAGCTTTCAAGTATTTCAAGGGTAGAGATTCCACAGTCTCTCTGTGCAACCTGTTCCAGTGTTTAACCACTCTCATTGTGAACAATTTTTTTCATAATTTTTTTTCCTACTTGGCATTTCTCTTGCTGAAACATGACTTTGCCTGTCAACACTTTATTTCACACCCCAAATGAAGTGACAAGCTAGAATCTAATAGTAAATATTATTAGTCAACATATCTTCGAGACAAGTGTTTAGTATCCTGCAACCAAATAAATACTAATACAGGACTAGTATTATCCTGCATATTAAAATGTTGTCTTTTATCTTCTCACAGCATAAACTGCACATGAGGACTTTGCAAGTCCTGCAAGATACAATACTAGTAGAATATATATTAGATTGGCAAAAGTGTAATTCTGTGTTCCATTCTTTTGACTACATCCTTTCAGTCTTGTTTTTCTTCTGATGTGATTTTCAGTAAGAGGATCTTTACTAGCAAAACCTCATTAGGCTGTGTGCTGGTAAATCATAAATTGCTATTGATCTCAGAGTACATGAACTGGAAGTTTCTACTCAGTATTTCCTTCCCTTAAAATTGTTTGGTTTGTTTGGTTTGTTGGGTTTGGTTTTTTTTTTTCTCTCTATTGAATGTGTTCTAGGCAAATATATATTTGAAATCTGTCCATAAAACTTTCAAAGATTTATGTGTGGTACTGGACAGTAATGTTGCCCAGTTTTAGAACGCAGAATGGTAGAATACTGGATTTCTAATACAAAAATCTGCTACTGATTAAGTCTGTGGTATTGGTGAAATTATTTTTCATGTTTATGGAATTTAAAAAATGATTATAGGAATCTTTTTTTGGGTTTGCACAGCAAAGTCCTGGCAGCAGAGGGTCTGCAGAGGTGGGTTCTCTGAGAATCTGATGGAAGCTTCCCCAGTGTCTGACTGAGCCAATGCCAGCTGGCTCCAAGTTGGACCCACCACTGGCCAAAGCTGAGGTGGTGACTCCTCTGTGATAACATATTTAAGAAGGAAAAAAAGTGTTTGCACAGAGAAGTAATTGAGGCCAGAGAAGAGAGGAGTGAGAATATGTGAGAGCAACAGCTCTGCAGACACCAAGGTCAGTGGAGGAGGTGCTCCACGCACCAGAGCTGAGATCCACCTACTACCCCTGGAGGACCCCACACTAGAGCAGGTGGATGCCAAAAAGAAGGCTGTCACCCCATGGGAAGCCTGTGCTGGAGCAGGCTCCAGCCCGTGGAGAGAGGAGCCCACACAGCAGCAGGTCTGCTGGCAGGACTTGTGACCCATGGGGAACTTGTCCTGGAGCAACCTGTTCCTGAAGAACTGCACTCCATAGGAGGGACCCACATTGGAGCAGTTCATGAACTGCCTGTGGGAAGAACTTGTGCTGGAGATGTTCAGGGAGGCCTGCCTCTTGTGGTAAGGACCCCATGCTGGAGGAAGGGAAGAATTCCTCTCCATCAGGAGGAATAAGCAACAGAAACAACATGTGATAACCCCCATTCCCTGTTCCCCCACTGGAATGGGCAGGAGGAGGTAGAGAACTGGGAATAAAGTTAAGCCTAGGAAGGAAGGAGGGGTGAGGGGAAAGTGTTTTCAGAATTTGTTTTGGTTCTCGCTATCCTGCTCTGATTTTGATACATAATAAATTCAACTAATTTTACCAAGCTGAGTCCGTTTTGCCCATGACAGTAACTGGTGAGTGATCTTTCGCTGTCCTTATCTCAACCTACAAACATTTTGTTATATTTTCTCTCCCCTTTCCTGTTGATGAGGGGAGTGATAGACTGGCTTTGGTGAGCACCTGGCATCCAGCCAGAAGCAAAACATCACAGAATCCATGAAAGTGTTTGTATGAGTACTTGTCTCTTAACTACTTATTAGTGAATATCAATAAATGCTTAATGATTATGATGTAATTGTACCTTTTAACAAGGGTCAGTTCTAAAAAATATTTTATTATTTAATACTATTCAAATTTGGTTATTTCATGTGGTGTGTTTGTGAGTAAATACATATATCCAGAAAGATGAAAGACAATGCATATTGAGACATGATTTGCTAATTTGTCATTTATACAGAGTATGACAGGGGAATGGAGCCCAACTGAAGAGAACAGTGAAAACAAACCTCCTCTTAATAATAACATATTGGGTCATATTCTTCGTAGACTGATGGAGTTGTTCTATCCTCCACAACCCAAATCTTCACCACGTGTACCTACTTCATTTCCTGTCACAGGATGTATTTTGGGAAAAGTTTTTAGTGGAAAAACTACCTGTGCAAAGTTTATTGAAAAAGGTAGAGGTTGGTTGTTTAGTTTTTATACCTGAAATTCTTTAGAACTTTTATTTGTATTAAAATCTAACTCTTTAAATGAAAATTGTTTGGGCAAACCCTTTCGTTATTAATTCTTGAAACTCAGATACATCTGTATTTTGCATGGGTGGGTTGCATATCATTCCTTCATTATCTTTCAAAATAAGATTACAAACACCTGACTCTGAAAGTAGTATTAATATAGTATTACTTCTGTATTGAAAATTTGAAAATGCCTTTGGTAAACTTCATTGGAGATACTTGTTTTGGAAGAGACTGGTAAAGTGCCTAGTGACTGTAGATACACATACTGCAGTGGTTACAGAGAAGAAAGAGTGGAAACAATGTTTGTTATAAAATTCATTTAACTGCCTGTAATGGTTTCTCTGTATGTAGCCTCAACTTAAACTGTAAAGTTATCTAATTTTTTTATGTATTAGTTTGCAATATTCAGGTACTATCTGTTGATACTCTGGTTCAGGAGGCCATCCAGTCTTTTCTTAAAAATGAAATGAAAAGTGACTGTGATAGGATTCCACATGAAGAGAGTTCTGGGGAACAAAGTAAGGTAAGCATTTTTCTTAATTTTCATTTTGGCTCCAACAGGTAGATGAGAATGAAATATATAAGGAAGAAACCATACTTCAGTTTTTTACTCAATTTCAAACCTAATTCTAAATTATAACTGTATAAATGTAAGGCTTCAAGAGTCAACTTGAATTGACAATCTTGTTTTTTTCTGTAATAGAACAATCAAGAGGGCCTATCCAAGTTTTGTAAACCAATTTTAGTTTCTACTTTATGAAGAGGCATTAATTAAAAAGGTTAAATGAATTAAAAGGTGACTTCATCATTGTAAATTACTGACCTCACTACAAGAATTTTATGTATGAAATATAAAAATCTATTCCTCTGTATGATGGTTAGAGTTATACATATTGTTAGAGTCCTGTATTTTCTTGTTAAATCTCAAATTCACAGAAGATATGGTATTTTCTGTGTCATTTCTGAGTTAGCAAAACTGTATTCTTGATTTTGCCGCTGCTAAGCAGATGATTCATCCAATGACAAGGTTCCTTTCCTTTATATTAAAAATGCTTAATTCTGCAGTGATTTCTTTGACGTTATTGCTCATTGAAAAATACTTCAAAAGCTAAGATACAAAAGAATCTCTGTAGAACTAATGTATTTATATGCTACCATAGGAAACCATCAGTGGATTTATGATAGTGAAAATCAATCAAAGTAAGCTTAGAACCAGGACATTTTTTTTATCTCTTGGCCTTCATATCCTTTGTTACTGAACCACATTTGTTTTGACATTTTGGTGAATGTAGTGGTGAAAATCAGTTGAAGATTTCAATTAAACTATGCATTTTTTACTGTTAGAACTAGTCTCCTTAATAGAAAAAGAAACCCTATTAAATGTAAATAACAAAAAAAAATAATAAATAGTATGTAATATAAAAAGTGGAATCATACTCTTTTTGACAAATTATGAACATTCTGAACATACACTGCACTATTCCACAGCTGTCTGTGCGTGCCCAGCTTGGCGCTGCATCGCAGAAAAGGTTGAAGAAAGGGAAAAGTATTCCCGATGAAGTACTAATTGACCTCCTGTTGGAAGCCATTAAGTATGAAATTGTATAAACACTTGGTTTTGTCTCCTCTTGTTTGACAGAAAATTGTCTTCACTACCTTGATATGCATTTAGCATGAAGTCCCTGCATGAATATAATTTAAATTGTATTACTGCCATTAGTATAATTCAGAGTTACAGAACAGATTTTACTATTTGTTATGTCAATACAAAAGTTAGTGAGAAAACAGTGAAATTATACTTTTAAAAAGAGCCCTTATGGAGTTTTTGAAAATTCTTATTTATCAAGACAGCAAAAAGTTTTTTAATTTCTGATTTTTTTCAATTTTAATTGGACTTATTATTTTTTCTTATTTACAGTTTAATAATATCTGTCATGTTCTATACTCATCAGGATATTGAATATACTGAATTAAGAATGAAAGACTGCTAGAGCAAGATCTTCTTTAGTTTTTATTATTATGCTATCAATTCACTGTATAAATCTGGTTCTTCATTTACTTTTAGCCAAATACCAGCAGAGAAGGGGTGGATTGTGGAAGGGTTTCCAATGACAATTAATCAGGCAAAGCTATTTGACAAAGCCTATACAGGGAATGATCCAGAAGAAAAAGATGTGATTTCTGGAAAGCTCTCACTTGCCATAGATCCCAGAGCCCCTAACAAGCCTCCTGTTATCTCACCTGCGTTTGATGTTTCTGTATTATTGGATATTTCAGACACTGTGGTATTGCAACGTGCAGCTAACATGAAGTGTAAGTTTCCAACTACTAGTAACAAAGTAAAGTGATGAGCAGATATCTGTAAGTTGTACTTAATAATGAAAAATAGCATTACTCCACAATTTCTCTACGTGTCACAGTATCACTTTCATTAATTGTGCCTTGAATACCTTGAGATTATTTCAAATCCTTCTTTTTGTTTCAGTCAAAGGCATATCAGAAGTATGCAAGTGGAGGTGTATATGCTTTTTTGAATTTGTACTGAACTCTCCCTGGAGCTGGGATAATACAGTGACTGGTGTTATATATCACATAAAACAGCAGCTGGAAGAAACACAAGTTACAACAGATGCAGAAATATCCCTCAGTATAGAGAAATGTATAGAAATAGTATTTTTCTTCAGGAGACACATTTGGAAAGGGATGAAGGAAATTATGAATGGAGGGATGTGAGAGTTCATTCCCTGGGAGTGTCAGAATTAATTCCTTATTGATTACTGCCTTTGTCATGTTTTCAGTTAGTCAATGAATGATCAGAAATTGTCATTTTAGGCTCAAAGGCGTCTTGAGAACTGTTTCACTTTCAAACTATGTATTTTAAATGGCCTTGTTGAAACACCTTGTTGAAACATAAGTTTTTTCATTAATATGTCCCATATTATCCAAAATTATAGGTGATTCTTCTTCGTTGTTTTCACTGCAGCACACAAATAGCATGTAGCTTAAATTAAAGCACAATTTACATTTAACTTTTATGTAGATGTAGGAGTGAGGATGAGACAAAATCTTCAGAGCTCTTGCTAACAATGTAGTGAAAATAAATGTATAAACGCTTGAAATTCTTACTAATTGTAAGGTATTGTGTTGACAAAACACTTGGAACACATGATAACGCATAATGTAATCTCAGAAATAGAAACAGAATTTATTTCATGTTATGTAATGTGATAGAGTCAAAAGAACAATAAATCAGAGTTTTTTAAAAATGTTTTATTTATAATGAATTAAAGGTTTCTTAAAATTTAGAAAAAACTCAGAGAGAGACAATACCTTGTCTTTTCATGCAGTAGAATATCTGCTCACTGTGGAAAGAAGTAGCTACTTCAAGGAAGGTTCAGATGAAACTGGGAAAATACCTCCTAACTGGTAGAGTAAATAAGGCTGAAATAGTCTGCCCACAGGAATGCTCCATCTCTTTAACTGAAGATTTCTATGACTGCAAAGCATCCATTAAGAAATGTTAGTGCTGTAATTGGCTATACTTTAAAAGAGAGAGGCAAGACAGTGTTTTCATGTCCTTTACAGCTTGATTTTATATTTCTATGATGTTTTCTGACTTTTCCTTTCTTTTAGGAAGTTTGGTACCCAATTTTGAAGTGAAGAAATGTAAGATCAAAGAACACTGAATTTTTTCTTATAATAATTATCTTACTTTGGGGGAATAACTGAATGATTGCTTTTTTCAATATATGCTCATATATGCTCTTTTCCACACAGTAAATAAATCAAAGTCATCTCAAATTGAACAGGAAAACAGCCATCAAAATTCAGATCCTGAAATCCTAGAAGAGAAGATTGACTTGGGCAAGGACCAGGTCCTACATAGGTAAGTTATATCAAGTACAAAAAAGTTGCTCCAGATAGATGTTTAGACATGTAACTAATCTGAATCTCGTATGTGATCCATGACAATACTGACATGCTTAATGTTAAGAATTTACTTAGGCATTTCTCTAATGTGCAGCCTAATGGATATTTTCATTGTTTGCACAGCATAAATAATCCTAAAAATTAGAATTCATGTGTTTTGATTTTCCAGGTATTCTTCCCAGTAGAATTTAGTTTTCAGATATATACTGCTTCAAAAATATATATATATACACACATATTTTTATCTATATATATCTATATGTCACACATGGTGTAACTGCTTTTAAGTGAAATACATTTGATTTGAGTTAGAGATTTTCTGAAATGCTATTTTCCATTTCTACATTTATAAAAAGCACTTAGTTTTCCAGTTTTAATTAAATTACTAGATGATTAGCTTTACACAAAGAGCAAAATCAAGCACAAGAAGTCTGGTTTCTAAATTTTTGGTAATATTAACTAGTTAAGACTATTATTTGTTGTTACTGGTTTAGTTCTTATATAAGAAAGTAGGTTTAACTTGTGACAAGAAAGAGTAAGAAATATATGACTAGTTAACAGAAGGATTTCGAAAATTTTCCTATGTTTAAAATGAAAGGTGTGTTGTGGATGGAGTTGTTTTAGTAATAAATTGGATGATGTGCTTTTCCTTTTTTTCACTAATTTTAGAAAATGTTTCATTTTCCACTACTTAGATTTTAATTTCATACATTAATATGATTTTTTTAGAATTTCAGGCTTTCTAGACACATGGCCAAAATTAGAGAAATGGTTTTCAGCCCATCAAAATATTCTAGTGAGTGTGAATGCAGAGAGAGAAGAAAGTTATGTGTGTGAAACAGTGAAGGAAATTATAATACAAGAAATTGTGAAAAAACAGAATAGAAGTAAGTTTTCACGTTCTTACTTTCTAGAATTTGGTATCAAAAGACTTTCTTCTCTGTAACTGATAATTACTATATAACAGTATATGGCAACCTGCATTTTTGCTGCCCCTGGAAGTCTTTGTGGTAGTTTGAGTTAGTGATGCCTGCACCGGAACCCTGAACTTTTCTGTTGTGTTTTTAGGTTTTCAGAGGATATGGACCAATTTCACATAAAAATTAAATTAAAACATTAAATTCAGTCTTTCTTCCTGGATTAAAAATTACAGGTAGCATTTTCATCCTATGAAAGTGGTATTTAGCATAATGGTATAAGAAAGTCTAACTTACCATTATCAACAATTCATTTAGCATCAGCAACAGCATAAAGATATGGGTAACTAGGAGTGGTTTTGATAGGAATTTTTGTGCATCTTTATTCCATTTCTCTTCTTAATCAAGCAGAAGGAAAAAATAATTTAAAAAAAGGAAAAAAAGGTGAAGTATGCAGGGGAACAAATGCATCAAGTAGTCCAATATTAGTGGACCTGTGAATAACCAGACTTTTTTTCTTAACTATTCGGAGAAAATCTTGATGTGTCTCCTATCACCAAAACAAACAAACAAAAAAAATATTGACTGGATAAGTACTCTTTACAGTAAAATTTTATCCCACTACTCATGCATAAGGTTTCTTGTTCATGAAAAATTCTTGGAAATACCACAGCTGACAGAAAATTGGATGGAGTGTTTTCAAAAAACTACCTAGTTGGAATTGGGATTTTTTTACGTTTTTGGTATAATTAATAACCCTGCTGGCGTTGTTGGCAAAATTCCTATTGATGCAAATGAACTGGAGATTTTCCAGTTAGAATCCAGCTATTGTATAGAAGTACTGTGAAGGACTATTTACTCCCTGTGGAGAAATGATCCCTGTGGCCAATTAATAATGTTTAATTTCATATTTATGTTGATAACTTCCAAACTGCCCTTCACTATTAGGTTCATATAAGCAGGTTGGTGGAACATGACTTACTTTTAGTGAATCCATGCTGACTACTCCTGATCATCTTCTTGTCCTCCATGCGGGTAGAGATGGCCTCCAAGATGAGGCATTCCATCACCTTTCCAGGGATTGAGGTTAGGCTGACTGACTGGTAGTTCCCTGTGTCCTTCTTGCCCCTTTTGAAGACCAGGGGTCATTTACTTTCTCCCAGTCCACAGAGGTCTCTCCTTATCTCCATGACCTTTCAAAGATGATCATGAGCAGTCTGGCTATGATTTCTGCCAGGTCTCTCAGCCCTCATGGAACATTTTGTCAGAGCCTGTGGACTTGTGGATGCTAAGTTTGTTTAGACATTCTCTGACCCAATCCTCCTTGAGCATTGCTGATTTCATGAGTATATTTTCTGATGAACAACATCTAAGTTATGAAATAGTGAATCTGTTCCATTATTTTGAACTTCTCTGAGTAACATAGGTGTCTTGTTCTATTTATTGATACTTAAAATACATTTGAAGGTACTAATTGTGCATTCATATCAAGGGTCTACTGAAGAAATAGCACCAGCAGAAGAAAAGCCTTTACCAGTTACAGAAGTAAAGCCATTACCAGATACAGAAGAAACGCCTTTACCAGTTACAGATCAAGATCTGCTTCCTCCCTCTTCTGAGACACCACCACCACCAATAGAACCAGGATCAGATGAATACATTTATGTAGATGAACCACTTCCCCAGGTATGTTCATTCAGGATTAAATATCTTAAATATCAAAGTACATATTTTTCTTAGTTTTCTGTGTATGTGCTACCTAAACTTTTTATGTCACTGCACATTGTTTTCTTCAATATTTTTCAATGTATATTATGCTAGTACTGTGTGATAAATAATATACAAACAACCATTCCTACTAAAATACATAAAATAAGGGAACATACTTTAAAATTTTGATTTTTTTTTTCTAAATTCTTTACAATCATGGTGAAGAACACAGATGCCTGTTATGGTATACTAGTACAGACTCACTAGATCAGTTTTCTGTCTCTGACAAGAGGCAGTTGTGGATCTCACACAAAGAGTAAGAATGGGGAGTGTGTGCACTAATCTTTCTCCTAGAATACTTTTTTCCTTACCCATTTTACCCAAAGGCATCTTCCTAGATTCCAGTGATCTGAAATTTAGAGGTTTCCTGAAGTGGCTTTATATCTGCATCTTGCGTTTAGTAGCTCTCAATAGACTTTTCTTTCATGATTATGTGTTTCAGTTGCTTTAGTTGCTTTTTTGAAACCATTTACTTTTTATTCTCCATGGCATAGGCTGTATAATTATGTTAATTCAGAAAAAATATTTCTCTTTCTTTGCTCTAAACTGTTCTTTGCTTGAACTTGATGAGCCTAATTCATGTATTGTGAGATACAATGAATAATAATTCTATAATCATCCTCTGAAGGTATTTAAGATGTGACTGGCATCTCTTATATGTTCATTTTGCTCTGTGTTGCTTTTCTTCTCCAGTCCAGTTATAATCTATTCTAGTTCTCCTGTAAGTCTTTGGAGATGGGAAGCTGAGACTATATACAGTTTTTCAGATGTAGATTTCAAGGGTGGACAATAAAACTTTTAGTAATTCCTTTCCTAATATTTACCGGTTTTACCTTCATGACTGCTTATGCTTGGTTTCCTCTGGCCATGAAATGTCACTTCTGGATGGCCAGCTTAGATCTTTATGAGCTCAAACAGGAATGACCAAATTTTCATACTTCAGTATTCACTCAGGGTCATCGCTTAGTTTATGAGCATATCCAAAACCATAGATACTGGAGTATTCTGCTGGAACCTACCACTCCTTTTGAGACCTACCACTTTTTTCAAAGAAATGCACAGGATAAAACTATATCTGTAATGTCTATAATCAGTTGTAAATCAAAAGAAATACACAGTGAAAAAAAAAGTAGTATGATTTAATGAAATAATTTTTTCATGTATTTACTAATGCTACAGATAAATGAATTACCAAGAAATATATTATTTAACGTTGATGTTTTTAAAAAATTCACAGGAGATAATTGATTTTTTAGTACCTTACTGGGAAATGATAGAAAATTCATATATAAATACCATCAAAGCTGTACTTAGATGCCTAAGGGATGAACAATATGCAATGATTCATTACCTAGCAGATATTAGGTGAGTAGAAATAGTATCTTATTACATTAATATAAATGTATTTTATTTTTCCTATGACGTTCTATATGTCTTTTAACACCAAAATTATTTTTACCATAATTTACAGAAAAAATTTCCAAGATTTTCTGAAACGTCCAGATCTTAAGCAGGAGTTTGTATCTCAGTGGCAAGCAGATTTTAATTCTATTTCTGATGACCTTCGAGATGATGAGGAAACAAAAGCTGAACTACACCAAAGAGTTACTGTAAGTAAATGGCAAAAGTTACAATATATCCTAGACTATTATTCATTGTATACAAGCTTGATATGACATGAATTATATTATTTATTTATTATTATGATATTATTATTTATCCTTCTTTACCAGTCCTCTTAAACTATTCCATTTCCTGTTGTGCATAAAGTGTTCTTCACAATTATTTCTCTGTTGTTTGGCCATAATTTTCTTATGTCTTGCTTCATTTTTTAGGTTACACTGTTGTACTCTGGTAAACTGCTCTCTTTTTCTTTAAATTTTAAGGTTTTCAGAGTTTTTACAAGTTTGGGTATTTCTATCACAATCTAACAAATCTTGGCAGTATTTTAGTTTTTCCATAAGTTATATATGCTAATATATGTTTTCTAAAACAGATTCATACAAAATACAGGGAATTTCTTTGAAATGTTTTGGCTCAGGTAGATCTTTGCTAGGTCATACATGTCCTGAGTGTTCTTTTTCACAAAAATCTGTGACAGTAAAGACCCTAACAACTTCAAAGCCAGATTTAACATAAGCCAAAAGTACAGCTATCTTTGAATTTATCAGCTTCCCATTTCAGAACAGACATGATTTTTTGTTGAGTTGTATCAGGAAAAATGCTCCCAAAAAAGGGGAAAAAGAATACTGACAACATTGCTAGTAAAAGGCAACAGTTATGGAATCATAGATTAATTCACTGAGATGGAAAAAGTTCTAGATGGACCTCCTTTTATATAGAATTATTTCAATAGAATGAATTAGAGGACTTTAAAATCATCATCCATATTCCTAATTTCTACTAAATGGAATTATGAAAAAACTGGAATCCCTCTGTCCTGTGTTTTAGAAAGATAAAATATTTGGACTATTGCACATAACAGAAATCCATGTTTGATATTATCCAATTCAAATTCTCTTAAGAGGAGGTGGTGCTCCCATATCATGCAGTGAGACTCAGATAGTGTGATAAGGCTAAGCAGTTTGGAGTGAATATATGATTTTCAGAATTTCTTTCTTTGAATGACCCATTCTATTCCTCGTAGATCCCAAACTTTTGGGTGATTGTGAAGATGATACCTCCTCTATGCTTTTAGGCCATGCCCATTGTACCTCCCTGAATGTTAGAATTCTGTCAGCTATCCTTCCTTGATGCTAGAAAAAAGGAGGAAATTAAAGCAATGATAATCTTCAACATGTTTTTCCTCAAACTCCCAGACTGCTCAACTCTGTCATCTGGTCCCTTCCTAAAACACTGGAAAGGGCTAGCTGTAAAACCTGAAAACAAAATTTCTCTGATATCAACTGGAAAATGTAAAATCCTACCTCATCTTGTGATGTATGAGAACTTCCTCAGAGGCCTAAAGCCCAAAGAGCAGCCAGGACTTTCTTTGGCATGCTGGTATGGTTTAACCCCAACCAGCATCTAAGCCCCATGCAGCCACTCACTCCCTCCCCCACCAGTGGGATTGGGGAGAGAATCATAAAAGGTGGAAAACTCGTAGGGTCAGATAAAGGCAGTTTAACAGGCAAAGCAGAAATCAAGCACCAAGCAAAGCAAACCAAGTAATTCATTCACCACTCCGGTCCATGAGAACGCAGAGACCCCACATCAGAGCAGGCTCCTGGCAGTAACTGTTACCTGTAGAGAAGAGGCCAGGCAGGAGCAGGTGTTCTGGCAGGACATGGAGTCTGCGTACTGGAACAGTGCAATCCTGAAGGGCTGCGCACATAGAAAGGAGCCACACTGGAGCAGCTTTTCAAGTACTGAATTCTCTGAGAAGGACCCACACTGGAGAAATCCATGAAAGACTGTATCCAGTGGGAGGAACCTCACTCTGGAGCAGGGAAAGAATTAAAGGGGGAAGAAGGGGCAAATGCAAGGTATAATGAACTGACCACAACCACCCGTTCCCCATTTTCCATGTGCCAGGTAGGAACTGAAGTTGAAGTTGAACTCGGGAAGAAGAATGGGCAGGGCGAAGGTGGTTTTGGTTTTATGTTATTTCTCATTATTCTGCTCTGTTATTAATTGTCATTAAATTAAATTAAGTTTCCCAAATCAAGTTTTGAGCATGATTATAAGAGGTGAATGATCTCCCCATCATTATCTCAACATACAAACTTTTCCATCATATTTTGTCCTCTTTTCCTGTGAGGAGTACTAATAGAGTATTTTGGTGGACTACTGGCAGCCAGCCAAGGTCAACCTACCACTGCCAACAGCTAAGTTGTATGCTTATATACCTTTTTATTCAGCAGCGTATCTTTAGGTGTATATTCCACAATGTGGACAACCATGAATATCTGATTGTCTGCAACTTGACTACCTTCTAGCCATCAGTGATGTGTTTGGGCTTCCTAGTTGTCAGCTTCCCTGTGGCTTTTGTCCAACAGAGGACAAGTGGATTTGTCTGAAGTCTTTGGACAGGGAGAGAGAAACAGGATTTCCATAACAGTCTGAGACCAAGACCTGGTGAATATGGAATCACCTCAATTGAAGCTAAGCTCCTCATGGCAGGGCTAGTAGCCTTTTTTATCCCAAAGCAGGTCGGGTGAGGCAGAACTGCTTGGAGCCCAACAGACAAGTCATCTTGTCCTACCTTAGCACTGCATTTAACAGCACTCTTCTCTTCCCATGACCTCCTACAACACAGTGGTTTGTTCACACAATTTCCATGCAGAGATGGTAATAGGGAACAAGGGGTTTGCAAAGATGTTGTATGCTTGGTAGGTCTTCAGTGCTGTGAGTGAGCCACATCTAGCCACATCTAGCACTATCTAGTGCTACTACTAGATAGAGACATTAGTTGAAGAGCCCTTAATTAAAAGAATGTTAGAGAAAAATGGCATGGAGGCAATCCAGATTGGAACACCTCTTGAAATCTGGCATGATTTTCTCAGAATTTTTCATATTGTACATCCCCTTAGAGTATTATTCTTAGTGTATTGCTTAGCAAACCATCCAAGTGCAAAGTTAGTGCGGTTGGAAGCTTAGCTATTCATAGTCTCATGTTTGTCTGGCTTAGATGGATCATCTCTGCCTCAGGAAAAGCAAGGCAGCCTGCACATTGAACTCAGGTCTTTGTATTCTTCTCTCTGGTACATTTGTAAAGCCACTTTCTGTCAGCTCTTTGTAAGCATGTGACTTGACCAGGCTTTTATATTTATACAATAAAGAAAAAGCCCCAAATGAGATGATGTCCTATACACAACCCAAAAATTATTAATAAATACTTAATATTAATCAATATTAATAATGTAATATAATATAATACAATACAATATATATTTATTACAATATAGTAAGAGAGAATAAAATAATATAATATAATGATTAATAATAAAGAATAATTAATAATAAATATATAAAATAAATATATTTAAGTTTTCTTTCACAGTTATTTATCATCTTTGATTTTGTGTTTTAGGATCTAAGAGATCTTCTCTGGGATATCTGTGACAGCAGAAGGAAGGACGCAGAGCAGGAACGTATTGATATCATGAATAAAGTCTGGTTACCAGATCATAGGGGGATTGCAATGAACCATTTCTTTTCACTTATGCAGGTATGGACCACTACAGAGTCTGCAATGGAAGGGGACAATGAATTAGATTTGGAAGACAGTAAGCCTGAGAGAAATTTCATGTTCCCTCAATCCCTCAATGTGTGAGGGATTGAGAATTAGTTAAGCAAATCTTATTCTCTTCTGAATTTATCCAGAAAGTTGAGAGACAAAAAGTAGGTGACATTCCATACATTTAACTTTGGCAGGAAGAAAAGGTTAAGAAAAATACCGTTGTTGTTGTCCAAACCCCAAAACTTTCAACCTCTATTATACAGTGCTACTTTTTGCTATTTTTTCACTCTAGTGAATCATCTGAGTTTTTTAACAGAAATGTTACGGATGTTTATTCTTCTGTAATCATATTGACATCTCCTTTTAATTTGCAAAGTACATAATTCACCTCTGTTGTAGACCTACTTGATGTTACAGTATTTCCCATATCTCAAAATTATTTCAGTCATAACTTCACCAATGTGGCTTGAAATTTTACCTACACTCTGAAAAAAAACCCAAAAAGTAGGATATGTTTTTGAGATTGAAATATCATTTGTTACTCTTGAAAAAACCTCTTCAAATATGACACAGCTTTCAGATATCTAAAGTTTTCGAGAGACCATTCAGTTCCTGCAGTAAAGTAAGATTTCCCTGTTACTTCTGTTCTAGGTGCATAAACATGGTTTAGAACTGGACTGGGATAGACTAGACTAGACAGGCTTTCCTGTAAACTGAAGTGACCATTCTGTGAAAGTTCTGGCACTTTAAAGAAGACAACAAAACAATGCTTTAAGCACATGCCTTGTGATGATGATTTACCTGAAAAAAGCAGATCTAAGTAGTTTAGGGTGGGTTCCTGCCTTTAATTCCCTGTGTGATTTTTACATGTTTAATAAACAAGGAGCCATTCTCTTATCTCCTATTTTAAATATAAAGTGTGTGAAATAGTCTGTTGCTACAGTAAGGAAATTGTTAACTTCATTTTCAAAGAATCTAAATAATGCCCTAAAGAAAGACTTAAAGCCACTGACTAAAGAGAGAGGTTGAAATATCAAATAACTCCTGACTAGTGGAACCACAATCATCCTGTAATTAGAGTATTTATAGGCCTGACTATGTAAAAAATCCATCTTGAATTATATGCATATAGGAGACGAATTAATTTTACAGAGCTTAAATATTTTATTATTCTCCTTTTATAATCTTGTATAACTTTGCAATCTAATTCTAACAGAATTTCATGGACAGATATGATGCAGTCCAGTGGAGATACCCTATTAATCTAATTTGATCTGTCTTGTGTAAATATGCAGCGTAACTCTTTAAAATTACAAACACATGTATTAATCATATATAAGCTTTTATATTCATAAAGGAAAATTTAAAGGAAAACATTTGTTCTTTCTTTACTTAGTATATATTCCCCATAATAAATGAATTATTAATCCTAAAACTACAGAACTAAAAATATAATAACTTCATGTGATGACTTTTTTTTTTTTTTAGAAACAACCAGAAATAGGCTTCTTTGCTACTGAGCTCTCCATCTGTGGGTTTTTCTGTTGAAAGTTACATATATTCCCCAGGTGGCTCTGTAACTGTGTTAACATATAGATTTGTATAAATGCCCTTTATCAGTTTTCATTCCATCTTTCTGTGTACACACAGTTATACTAGAAGATATTTCCTCCTTAACTTAGGGATAAGTGCTGGTTTACACCACAAAGGTTTTATCCTTTGTTTTGTGAATGTGGTTTTGTGCATTTTCCCATGAATATTTAGTGCTGTTTTGTCAGTTAGAGACTAACACCATACTGTATCAATAAATCAAAACATGACAGGTGTTAAATGTTTCTTGATTCTTACTTGATTTCTTCTGAGATGATTCACACTAAAAGATCTTCAAGACACTTAGGTGTGTAAAGTCTGTTGCTTTCTTTGGTCCAGAAAAACTGTATGACTTATAAAATTTTCTCCATCCATAGCCCCTTTTGTTTTATGGTATTAAGGATTTTATTTCCTTTGAAAAAGAAAACCCATGTAATATGTTGGCACTAGTATACTTGCTACTATAGAAATGTACATACATCAAAATATATTGTGATTAAATTTAATACATTGAACATTAGACACATGGCATGACTCCTGGGGGTGATCCTGTGCAGGGCTCTGAATTGGACTCAATGATCTTTGTGAATCCCTTCCAACTCAGCATATTCTGTCATTCTGTGATTATTTATTGTAAAGGATTTTTCTTATTTTACCTATTTTAAAAACCATGATTCTTATTACTCGTCAGAAATGACAGAGTGAATACATTATAGATGCAAGTAGAAATATGCATTGAGTACACTATAAATGGTTATGCCTCTTGCTCTCCTTCAAACGCTTGGGATTTAGAAGGGTTTCTGCTAACATGTATTTTAAAAAAGTAATAAAAGTTTGTTCTGTCCTATTTTGAATTGCAATTCTTCTGTCCTTTCTTCTCGAGGTTGAAGTGGATCGTTTCCAAGATACAAAGAGAATTCTTCATGACTACTATAGGTCAATGGAAGGAAAAATCCCAACAGAAGACAGTAAAGATTTTACTAGAATCCCATTGTTAGATATTTTTGATGTAGAGAAGAAGGAAGATGTAGGGAAGGAAGATGAAGGGCAGAAGGAAGATGTAGAGCAGAAGGAAGATGTAGAGCAGAAGGAAGATGTAGAGCAGAAGGAAGGTGAAGAGCAGAAGGAAGATATAGAGCAGAAGGAAGATGAAGACAAATCAAGAAGGTAGAAATGCATTATTAAATTATACAGATATGAACAAATACAGTGCGCTGATAACTTCGTAGGTGTGTGTGAAAATATATGTGTGCATACTTTGAAGGATGGGGAAACAAGAATTTTTAACCAGGGATTATGGTCAAATGAAGAATCTTAAATCATCCTGTAGGTTAGAGGTACTCCTAATTTTTTTACTGATTTACCTGTATAATTTTCAGTAATGCATCCCTGAACTGTAAAACATTATAAAAGCTACCTTAGGAGGAATTTTTGGCACTAGTAGAATATTTTCCTATGTCCCTCTGTGTTACTGATCATTTCCAGCACAATCCTCACATAAATAAGTTAAAATATTATTGTGGAACATTAGCAGGTTTAAAATTTGTACCAATTAGCATAATTAAATGGGTTATGTAATGACAAGTGTAACTCAAAGCAGCCTACAAAGATGCACAAAACTGAATACCATATTAAAAGGTAAGGGATACATACCATCAGATAATTTCACAATATAAAAATGCCATCAATATTGACACTTGCTTTTAAACTTACAGTGCATTTAGAAATTGTCTGAGTATTAAAATTCTGCTTCTAACCCATGTGAAATTCATCAGCAAATCACACAGTCATTTGATGTAGTTTTATCCATCTGTTCTTACTCCTTAGGTGTTAATAGTTAAACTATTACACACTCTTCATAATTTTTGGTCATTTTCTCTTGCTATTGCAAATTTTGAAAATAGCATTCTAATTCTTTCAACATATTCTCTGATGTAGTTATTAACACTTTTTACAAAGTGGTATGCGAATTATTGGTTATATTTTATTTTTGAGGATTCCTCTTGTTTCTTGGAAACCACTTTCACCAGAAATTAATACCAAGACAGAAAACAATGGAACTCTGCAGGCAACTTCTAACGTTGAGAATTCTGAAAATGGAGTGGCTGTTTGCATGAATGATGAAAGGCTTATTATTTATACGTGGCAAAAAGCAGTAACAGCAGTATCAAATATGGTAAGAAATGTTTTATTTACTTAAACATTTTTGGATCGTACGTTCAAAGCCTCCCATTCAGCAGGCAGCCTAAGCACATCATCTTTGCACTATATATCTCAATTTCATGCCTCTTGCCCCACTGCTGATATTTCCATTGAACATTTTTGTAGTTCTATGAGGAAAATGCTGGAACCAGTGTATTTTTGACATCTCTGTATTTATAACTGACCCTTTTATTCCACTACTGAAATACTTTGAATGTTGCTTCTGTATATCTACTTCTTCCATGATAAACTCTCCTGTTCTCTCTCTGTAGAAGTGTGAGTAGATGGAGAATTTTAATCCTGTGACACATTGTTTGCTCAAACCTTTCACAACTTGAAAAGCTATAGTTACATTCTTTTTTCTATATAGATAAAAATAAATTAGGAGAGCTTTTAAAATGGTTGGTTTCTAGGTTTGATTTCTCTTTGATCATTTAAAAATTCATTTCTGCACCTTTGCCATGTAACTTTTAGGCTTGCTTCCTGTACTGTTGATTCTTTCATTTCTCACATTTTCCTTAAGCCAGGCAATGATTACAAGAATTAAACCCACTCTGTCTCTGTCTTGCATTTTTGCTGTAGAATTATATTTTTGATAAATAATCTAAGTTTAATCAATTAGTTAAAGTATCTCCTTTATTTATGTGTCTAGTTATCAAGTACTTTCAGCAAATATAGGCAATTTGAAACAGTAGTTGCACAGTGTGGATGCTATGTACTGTACTATGTGTGATTATGGTGTCAAGGTAACAGCTGAAATAGAGTTTAAAGAAATGGAGGAAGAAGAAGAACGTCAGCAGCAAAAACTGAAAGAAGATCCGAAACGCTCAGGCAAAGCTGCTGGGAAAGATGCCAGAAAGCCTTCTGCCAAATCAGTTACTAAAAAGAAAGGTATTTAAAATACAGACTTTGTTTCAGCAGTGCTTGAAATTACCAAAATGTAAATATGTGAGTAATACAGAAACAAGTAAACCAAGATATTTAATTTGGATTTAATTTCTCCTTTAAAATGCCAAATGTGACATGTCAATATAAAAAACTGGTAGTGATAAAAAAGCTCAGAGGCTTTTGAAGGGCAACTGCATTTATTTAAACATATATGTTGTCTTTATATGTAGGAATAAGTATTGTAAATAGCATGTAGAAAATATTTTTTTTTCTCCATGTTCTGTATTGGAATGAAATGGAATGGAATAGTTAAGAATAGTTTATCAAATTAAATAAAATTCTATTTAGTTAGGCCTTCTTGCCAACTGTAAGTCAAAATATTTCAAATATTAATATTAAAGAAATTTCCCTGTCTGACCATCCAGGAGCCACTTTGGCAGTCACACTCTGCACCACCTGAGCTGGGACTTAGGCCCCTTCAAAACAGGTGACTCTAGTGAACGGACAGGTCCCCATTTGATTCCCCACACCCCCCACACTCACACAGTCAGACCAGGTTTCCTTTCATGCTCCATCCCAGGTTTCCCATGGCAGAGTCTCAGATGTTTGGAACCTTAAAATAATTAAAATCATGGTGCAACAACAGGATAACAGCTTGAACTGGTGCCTTCAAGGAGGGACCCTGAACAAAGGAAACCCTGGGCTCTTATACCCTCACAGTCTAAGTGCACGAAAGTTTGGGGTCATTGTCTCCCATTGTGTCTGTGAGTGTCCAGTCCCCTGGCTGGGCCCCGGGGCCAGGGTCCTTTGTTCTGCAAAGGGTTGATGCCAATTCACGGCCTCTTGTGTCAGGCTGCCACCACCCAGAACTCAGCCTGCAGCTCCCAAAGGTGCACTGACTGCATTTCTCAACAATTAAAGTAATAGTACTGGAACAGAATGGGTCAATTACACAGTGTCTTAAGATATACTGAAATTAATTTAGCAGCCATACGGTAGCATGGATCAATGTCCATAATTTTTATGTGTAACTGCAATGTGGTGTAAATAAAGAACAGACAATCTAATATCATCTACAGTCTTAAAAACATGTAACTGCTACTGAGGGAGATCTGGCATGTAGGCCTGGTAAGAAACTGTCCTAATTTATTTGAAAAAGAGGAACAGGCAATCTCCTGGAAGGCACTGTGGCATACAAGGCTGTTTACACATATTGTCATAACTACTTCCTTGTGTAGGTAGTGGTTTATGTAACTTCCTTTCTTTTTTTTTTTTTTTTTTCTGCAAAATGTGCTAACTTCAGCAGGAAGCAAGGCTAGTAGCCTGAATCTTTTCTTTTTGTAAAGTCATTCTACATGTCAAGAGAGGGGCTCATGCCTTGCGGTGTGAGGGTAATCTGAAATTCAGGTATTCCATTTCCTAGTGAAAGCTGTAACTGCAGAGATACTGTGCATAAAGCAGGTGACTTTTTTTCTTTGACAGACATTTAATTTGCACCGTGCTCAGTTCTGTCCCTCTGGTTGATTCTACCCCTAGTAGATTGAACAAGCATAGCCTTGCAAATACTTAGCCTCAGGAAGCCTGAGACTTAGTTTAGCATTTAGTCCAGCCAAGAGAGTAGCTGATTTTTGGACTTCTAGAAAAGTTTTGTGAGAAAAAATCAGAAGTTGTCACCTGTTGTATGCTAAGTGGCTAGGTTGGAGTTTGTGGATTGCTTCTTGGAACTAAATTTTTGTTCCTACCTGGTATTAGACAGCCTACCTGAAATCACAAAACCATAAAATGATAGAACTGCAACAAGAACTCAGCTGTGCATTCCTCCTGGTAGAAGAGGAAGTGTCAACTGATGATTTGTAACTGAAGTATCAACTTTGATTTAATGTCAAATACAACGTTACTGCAGTGTTCCTGTGACTCAAGAATTCCCTGGTATAGCGCTAAGGGCCAGTAACGGAATGATAAAACTTACCACATGTAGTTTTGTCACTTCTAGATTTGACCATTTGCTTTATGTTGACCTTATGTATCATGCAGATGTCTTTTTTCTTCTGTAACATCTCCATCTACTCTTCTTTGTGGATAAAGCAGTTACAAATATTTTAATATTTTTGAATAATAACCAAAGTGACGTGGCTACAGAATATCTAAAAACATTATAAAATACCTTTACAGTATCTGTTCATGGATAAATAAGTTAAAACAAGCTGGTAATGCAGATAACAGAATGGTTTGGAAAGGCATAAAGAAATAAGTGTTATTCAAAAGATGTTTATTTATGTGTTGATTGTGATAAATTGGTATATATTAGGGTCAAACAGGACATCCTGACCATCTAGCATCAGGTCAGAGGCACATCTACGCAGTCATGATTTTCCTTTCAGAAACACATTTTAGGATGTCCTTTAACCAATTTTAATATAGTTGTATATGCTGGGGTATTTTTATGGAGTGTTAATCTTAGCATGACTTGCAGATATAAATCACATTTGATAGCTGAGCCCCCACCTGTGTATTCTCATAAATGGTCCCATCAAGTAAGGTGGAAAATGTAATTTTTCTTTAAAAAAAAATATGCTAATGAATGACTATCTATTGATACACAGATTTACTAGTAAAGTCCAAAGATTGAACAGTCTGTTTTTCCTGCAGGATCACGGAAGAAAGTCAGTATAATTCCTATAGACCCCGAAGTATTAAAGAAACAAGAACTGGCACTTAAAATAAAACAAGAACATCTATGTGCCTTGAAACATGAGGGTACGTTACTATTTGGTTATTTATATTGGGAGGTGATTGTTATTCCTAACTTAGGTAGTGTAATAATCAAAACTAGCCAGAAATACTTGAGAAAATTGATGGATAAAAAAGAAAAAAGAAAGGAGAGAGTAGTGTCTGGATTTATTTAGGGTGGTAATTGTCAGTCATTATATGATAAATAAAGTAGAAATGTGATTTTCATTCTTTTTGTTCTCTGTTTCATTTAATCTAATTTAATTTGGCATGACTAAGCAAATGTTTGTCATGAGAGAAAAGGCTTAGCATAGGTGGTTAACCACTTTTCAGTTTTCAATTTTCAATTGAATTGAGTTCAGTACTTGAAATATTTTGATATGTGAAAGAATTTTTGGCAATTGTATATTTCCTTGATATTCTTCTCTGATTCCCTCTTCTTCGAGCCACATGGGATTCAAGAAGCAGAACACATATTTTCTTTGTTCTTCCAAGCACCTTTACAGACAGACTCTTCCAAAAACTACATATTTTTCAGTTATTCTGTCTCTTTGTCTGTCTTATCCAATAACTTCCAAGCCAATTCAGCCAAAAGTGGATGTCTTGAAAAAAAGCCCTAGATTGAAAGAGGTTTGAAAATTTTTTAGGAGATGGGTTTAGACTAAAGAAGAATACCTCTTTATCACTTAAGGGAAGACAGAGCCAAGCTGTTACGGATTCTATCTGGCAGCAGTTGGCAAGCCCATCACCATACATGTTACCTCTTCGATGGGCTAACTATTGCATAGTGTTTTAGTATGAAATGTAGAGGGTAAACAGCAGTTACTGAACAAAACACAAATTCACAAGGCTTCTTTGTGTCCAGTCAGACCAAGTGCTTGTACACCTACCCACTTTCAACATCTTTTAATACAGAAGCAGTTTAAGAATAAATATTCTAAGGTTTTGGAGTAATGAGAGGAGATGAATAGTAGTAACTTTGAAGTTCCTAATAGCATGAAGATGAATGTTATTCATTAACATGTTTTGTTTTCTTTACATTGCTTTATTTTTTGTCCTATATTTTAAAAAATCCAAGAACTTAAGGAATGCTAAACATGTTAAGCTATATTTTCTGTTTGGACAGGCACATAGCTGGTATTTGAGAATCATAATTTCACTTGCAGCTTTGGTAACTTGTTCTTTTGCTTATACAGCTACACTGAGTCCAGCAAAGACACTAGTTGTGGATAGTTGCTAAGTTTCTAGCGTTGATTTCATATTTCATTTCTTTGTTGCATCAATGTACCTTGCCTTTTACTCTGTTACTGTTAAGAGAGCAGCTTTGCTGGTGGACTGTGAAGTACATACTTCTGAAAATACAGGGAGACAAAAATTGTCATACACTGACCTCTGTAACTACTGATAGCAGCTTAACAAAGAATGTACAGAGAAGTCACAGTTAAGGCAGCCTTAAACTGTACTACAGAAAGGTGACTGGAGAGACACAAAGTATCCTCTGAGGTACTCTCAGCTTAGAACCTTTACTTTTTCCCATCAATTAGAAAACCCTTTGTGAGACCCAAATGTTTAAAATATTGAACATTAAGTCTTTATAGCTCAAAACAGAAACTGCACAGAGTTTCATTATACTGTGACTGCAATATTACATTTAAAGAACAATGCCTTATTTTTTGGTTTTTTGCAGTCCATCTTTCTACATGCATTGCCTAAAGAAAGTTTCATCCCCAAACCTAAGTATTTTAAAAAATTAATAGAATGTACAATAAATATAGTTATATAAATAGTGTCAGTCTTTAAGTTTGAAATCAGTGTACCAATTATAAAATTATTAATTCTTTAAAAGATTCTGTCATACAGAGGGTTAAATATTAGGGAAAACCAAGTTGGATACTGAATTTGCCTTAAGGATTGAAAATAATCATTATTTCCTGGTCCTCTTTCCTTAGTCTTCTTTTTTAAGGCTTTTTACCAGTTCCATGTACCTCTCAAGCCTTAGCTGTCTTTTCATGCAGTTGGCTGGACACAAAGAAGCCTTGTGAATTTGTGTTTTGTTCAGTAACTGCTGTTTGCCCTCTACATTTCATACTAAAACACTATGCAATAGTTAGCCCATCGAAGAGGTAACATGTATGGTGATGGGCTTGCCAACTGCTGCCAGATAGAATCCGTTAACAGCTTGGCTCTATCTTCCCTTAAGTGATAAAGAGGTATTCTTCTTTAGTCTAAACCCATCTCCTAAAAAATTTTCAAACCTCTTTCAATCTAGGGCTTTTTTTCAAGACATCCACTTTTGGCTGAATTGGCTTGGAAGTTATTGGATAAGACAGACAAAGAGACAGAATAACTGAAAATTTCTTGCCTTGTGAATTCTGATGCTTATAGAATACACACTTTTGTAAAATACAGGATGCATAGAGGTGATTCTGAGAAAATACTTGTTCAAGAATATGAGTCATTAAGTGTTTTACTGTCTAAAAACAGGTAATCATGCTAAATTTTACGTACTTAAGACTGAGAACTTCCTAAAATTTTATAAATGTTATTCATTATGACATTACCATTTAAACAGAGGCAGCCACAAAATCTCGACTAGACCTTATAAAAGAAAAGGCTTTAGCATTTGTTGGAGACCTAAAAATGAAAGCAGAAGAGGCTTACAGAGATATGGAAAAGTGGCTTGGATCTACCTTCCTGGCAGAAATGGCCAGGTAGGTATATCAATTTTAAACAATTTCTTTTTTTATTTTTACCTAGACTATAGTAGTAAATATACTTGTTTGTGTAAGGAGAAATAATTTGGGAAAAGAATTAAAAAATAATAATTTTATTTCATGAACTGAAATTTCATTTTATCTTCAATACCTGAGTGGTAATAACTCAGTTCCTGGAAGGGTTCTGCAGATAGCTGTAAAGGTAATTATCAGTTGTGGTATTTTTCTATTACATATTTCTAATCTATTTATTGGACTACAGCTTTGGCAAATTTACGAGCAGATAACCAGTTATTCCATTTAGTAGAAGGCTCTGTATCATTTCAGTAGCTTCTGTCACTGTGGAATGTGAGATCACTTTCTTTCCTGTGCTTTACACATGCTGGAAAATTCCACCTACCATTATTTCCACTTTCTATAACATTTCTCAAAATTATTTCAAGGATCATTAAAAAAAGTTCTCCTCCACAATTTTTCTGTCCTAGTAACTGAAATGTACTTGGCACCACTATATGACACTTAGACCATCTGGCATATCAAGTGTTCATATCATTAAAGGGCTTTTACTTTCCAAAGAAAAGAGGTCACTTTGCCCTTTGTAGAATGTTTCTACCCTGTACTAACTTTTAAATCATACCTGGGACAGTGCTACTTGATCCATCTCAGGGCATGCCCAAGAAGAAAGACATGAATCTAGGATGTGAAGGCTTTAAGTAGCTCAAGGAGGCAAAGCCTCTGCCTTCCATCCAGTTTTATTTGCTCTCCTGACAACAAGACCCACCAAAGACACTGTTTTTACAGAACATCATATCCTTTGCACTGACACTCCAAGCAAAACCTATGTCTAGTTGAATATTAAAGACTGCTAATGTCTTTCCCTCTATAAATTGCACTCATTATACTTGAAAAGGAAGTTCATGTGCCTCTCCACAATGCTACCCTAGGAAGTGCTTTCATATTTTTCCATCTGGTCTCTTCTGTGTCCTAGATCTGACTTTATATAAATTTCTTACAATAGTCAAAAGATGTCTTGCTGCCAGAGGAGGAGTAGACTTCATAATGATTTTGCTGATTACAGAATTTGCACAGGGAATTTGTAGTTCTTACTTCAGGAAAGCTCTAAAAGTATAAACACACTAAAATTTAAAGCTATGTTATTAACATTGTATATTAAAAGTACGGTGTTCTTCATTCTCACTTTCACAGTGTTGAAAAGCTGGTTGAGGCTGCACGATATCATGTTGAGAGTTCTAACAAAATCCAATATGAAATGACTTTAGAAGAAACAGATTTCTTCATCAATGGTGATGTAAAAATGTTTCCTGACCCTGTTCCTGACCACACAAGTCCTGTTCCCGTACCACAAATTCCGCGCGTAAAAACCTCTGGAAGTACTCTAACTATTTCACAACTCACTAAGCTTCATAAGCAGTTTCTACAGGTGGCACCTAAAGGTAGGAAATTTTTTTCCTTTTAACTCCTGAAGGACTGTTAGTTACTTAAAATCTGGAGTAACTGTCTAGGAGCTATTAAACATTAGTATGACTAAACACAGTGATGAAGATCATGCTAGAGTTAAAGGTACTGCTACATAGGAAAGTCGTAGTGCAGGATATTGAAAATGTGAAATACCAGACCACTTGAAAGCTTCTAATGGTTTTGTTGTGGGCTTTGTATCCACAGAATCACATATTTAATATTCCTCTAACAGCTGTCTCTGTAATATGTATTTAGAGGGGTACGTTTCGTGCTTGCTAAACATTCAAGTCTGTAACTTCTTTACTAAATGAGAGCTCAGTGAACACTAAAGCTATATTATTTTAAAACACAATTTTAAAGAAATCAGTATTTTCATGAAACTATTACAACTATTAACCATTATATTCTTCCAGTCAATATGTGCCTGTTGTTTTGGATGTTAACTCAGATAATGTAATTTGTTAACTCAGCTATGTAATTTTCTTTTCCTTTGAATATGCATTTATTGTATGCCTACCTGTTAATTATGGGAACCTTAGGCTTAGGATGCTTGAAAAGACTTACTTGCAAAACTTCCTACAACTGTACAAATGTTACAAAATAATTTAGGTAAGGCAGTTTTAACTGAGAGGGAAAGTAGTTAAACACATATTTGCAGAGTGTTTCATTACTACCAGTGTTCCCTATTATAATTTTGGTATGATTACCCTTAAGATGGCAAAATACAATATGTAAACAACTGCTTGCAATTTTAAATCTGACTCTTCCAGTGTAATAGGGCCACGAAGGCACTACAATGTAGAATTTAATTCTTTATTCAGAAAAGCCTTTATGAATATTTATAGAGCAATTCCAATTTCCTTTTGCATACAAAGCCATTTTAGGCAGAAAGATGTTTACAATTTTCCTTTAGAGAGATGCATATCATCTCATCTGTAGTGGAGAGTGCGGATGTGTGTGTAAGCATTTCAAAATCATCTGTAGAGACTAATTTTGCAGCTAGTATTGCATATGTTATGACACATGAAACTAAAAATCTGTGTGTTTGTAATCCTTAGATAGTGCCACAGAGGTAGAGCACAGATACCAGTATGACTGGTCCTTTCACTTAAAAAGGGTTTTTTTGTTTTCAAGTCACTCATTCTTTAAGATATTTAAAACTAAAAAATTTTACAAATTTTACAAATCTGTTACAAACTTCAGGACAGAACTTGCTTGTATACTTGTAATAATTCACAAGAAAACGATTGAAATCTTTATCTTTTACAACATTTGTCATTTTGATAATATTATATTCACTAAAATAACCCAAGATGACTTGCATGGTACCCAAAAAATGAAATATCTTGACTTAGTAGTCATGAGACAGTAAAGGAATGATGGTGCACATTCTCTGGGACAATGGGAGAGAATTATTGTTTAAAATAATATTGTTTAAAACAAACAAAGCTTTCTTCTACTGTCTGGTGACTATAAAGTCAAGATATTTACCTTTTTTGGATAGCTGAATTAGGATGAAAATAACAAGCTATGCAAGTCATCGTTAAAATACTTCTTCCCATTCTTTTTCTTATTTTAAGACAGCATAAATCATGTCCTATATTTCCTAAGGCCACCATTCTCCTTCATTATAAACTCCTTCCTCTGCTAAAACATTGGGAAAATTTTTCATATCCTTCTACCTCCCCTTGTTCAATAGAATGCTCCACAGAAAATACATGCCTCATTAGTAGTAAGTCTCTCATTGAACAAAAGAGGGGAAAACACTAAAGCATCCAGCACCCTGGCAGCGAAATTGTTGACTGGCAGCTCTAAAGCAGATACAAAAAGGTAACAAACAAATCCCTGCCTTGGAGAACCTCTTAACTGATCTAGATTTGCTGCCAAACGTCTTAATTTTTTCTTATTCTTATCCCGCCGAGCAGATCTCTCAGCGTTTAATGGAAGTCCAGACAAACAAGCATATGAGGCATAGGCTATTAGGCAAGTCTAAATAGAATAAACCTGCCAATCTCCTTGTAGTATGTGAATAGCAAAACTCCTAAAGTGATTCTCAGAATTGAATATTAGGCTTTTCTAAAGCATTATGGAGATTACATGAAGCAGATTTTTTACTTAGAAAGCAAGCAAGTAAAGAGTAACAAAGAAGGGGTGATTATGTTGGAAGAAGTGAACACGTAAACAGATTTCTTACTGTGTATTTGGTAAATGTCAAAGGGAAGTCTTTTCAAAATATGTTTAACAAATTGCTAAAATTAAAGCTAGAAGTGTGAGTGCCAATATACTTAAAAGAATTTTTATATCCACAAAAGAATTCTTTATAGAAATGATAAACAGTTTTGTGTTTCCTAGGAATATAAAGTTTTAAAGAACTGCCGATTCATCACAGACAACTTTGTTCTATCCTGCACACTTGGTTCTCCGTGGAAGCACATTACTCTCCATTCTAAGCACCGATGGACAAAAAAACCCCTAGCTTATGCTGGACCTTCCTACCTACTGACAGTCTTTCATTTGATAAGGAAATATTTTTTTTTTTTTTGCTATTTCACATTCCTTTACCCAAACTCAACATGGCTCTGCAGTAGTTGATAATTTCACTAACTCTTTTGTTCAAGTTGTTGACAGTGCTCTAATATATTACCTCAGGAATGCTCTTTTATAGGAAAAGCTGTGGCATATGGAGCTACTAACATTCACTTTTTTTATTTTCTCTTCTGCAGTCTCTTTGGATGTGTGCTCTTCTTATCAACAAAATTAACTATCTATTAAATCTCATTCCCTTTGATTCCTTTCAGCACTATGTTCTTCTTATGGCCACATCTCTTGTCATTGCAATTAGCACACATATGGAATGCCTTAGTTCTCTTCTAAAGGTGCTTCAGAAAATGCAATTTGGGTATGGCTTTGCATTACCAAGCAGATCAAATTGGATTCTATCCCAGACTATGTTCTCCATCTTATGACTGAATCACACAAGGGAATTTTAAATTTTATTATGTTTTTCATAGTCATGATCTTTATGAACCATTCCAATTTAATTATAAAAGCCATTATTCATCAGAAATAAACTTCAGTCAGGTTTAAAAAATTTCTATATCAAATAACAAAAAAGTTTAAAATATTTATAAAATTATTAAGTAGTCTGCTAAGATGTGAACATAAAGAATAGCCTATAACCAAATTGTATTGCTGTTTCTTTTCAAATTGTAGACTTGTCAATTGAATTTTACTGTGTTGCTAGATTTGGAACAAACAGATATATTGAAGTGTTCATGTAGTTCAGCTGAATTTTTACCTTTTTAATAGAATATTTTTTTTAATCAGAATTTTATACTGACCCTGGATAATGTCTATAGATTATACTTTCTCTTCCCAAGCACTGTAGAAGCAGTTCAAGATCTTACATTAGTAATCACCATGACCTGACTTTGATGTATATAGAGATTGAAGTTCTTATGTGAGCATAGAAATAGATTCACCATCTCTAACTTACAGTTTTTCAAGACTATTTTCAGTGTGCTTTTTGAATACTTGAAAATAAAAAGGTTAAGTTTATAGAAAGAGGAAGTATCTTTTACTAGATTTTTTTTTACTAGATCTTTTAGTAATTCTACTGAAAGTTCCATTTACAGCTGCTGTATCTCTGACCAAACCATGTATGGTACTTAATTTCAGAAATTTGCGACTGTTTGCTTATGTTTATAAATCTGTGTATCTAATTACTTGTGTGGAACATATTTAACATGGTTGTATATGTTTCTGTGCATTTGAATGCATATATACCCAACTTTAAGGTTTCAGTCAGCACAACAGAGGACCTCACCCCTCATTGCATCTGTGTAGCAACAGAAATATCTTACTCTCTGTGAATCTACATTTAAAATCCCAATTCTTGGTATTTAATGAAGATTGGACATATAGCAGAATCACTAATAATTAGAAAATAAATGATGTTAATATTTACAGTGAAATTCACCTTCAAGGAATTACGAGTCTTTCAATAACTTGGGTGGAAAGAATAATGTATTTGAAACCCCTGTCTTTTTCATCTAAGGATGGAAGTATCCCATATAATTACCTGTTAGACTACTGAAGTTAGAGGACTATAATTCATCCTCAGGGTTTATTTCACTCATGCTACAGAGTCTGGTGTGTAACTTGCATGGATCATCATCCAAACCTCTTGAAATGGAAATATTTTTTTCAGTGAAAATGGAGGGGAATATAAATCTGTTCAAATGTTCTGGTAAAATTTTATGAAAAGGGAATAATGTTAACATAATACTCATCTCTAATATAAGTTTTTTCCTGTGTAAATTTATAATCTGAATCTTTAACAGAGATTTACTACTTCCTCAGTTTAGGGAAATATTTTCATACAGTGCCTGTATGAAAGTATTCTACTGAATGGTGTGTTATTAAAAAAAAAATCTCTTTTATATATCTGTGCCTTACAACTGAGGCATGGTGATTGCTCTTTGGTTAAATGTCACAGTCCTGGTTCACACAGTACAAATCTCATACACTCCTGCATTACTATCATTCTTAATGCTCCTTTTTGGGTGTTTAATTTTCTGTTTTCAGTTTCATTTGTGGTCATAATCTCAATTTCTTCATTAATTACGATTTGCATTTGTTTATGACGTTTCTGCACTGTTTTTTGAAACATTAAAGGCTTTCTAATGTCACCTTGTGTATCAGGGAATGATACTACCTTTTAAAAAGTTTTTAATGAAAAAAATTTTACCTTGTGTAGCTTTTCCTTCTTCTTGATTTCATTGATGACAAACTTCATGTGAAAAAGAGGCTGCTTCATAAGTAGGCTGGTTTCCTTTTTTATCCTGTGTTCTTTACAAAGTACTACTGAAACTGGTCCCACCTTTTCCTATGTTCGTAGTTCCTGCATGGAAATTGAAAAATATTGGTAATATTGAAGGCCTGTCTTACAGAGAATATTATCCCTGGCAGTGGATCACAGGCCTGTTCTGACCCTTGTTTTTCTAAGCACCAGGAAATTTCTACAGGTACCCATGTCCCTCAAGAAGCAGTAGGCACTATAAAGATGTTACAATGATTTTGTCCCTTCCACCCTTTGACTTGAAGTTGCAGATCCATTATTCCATCTCTCCACCTCTTTTTCACCTACTCTTGCGTTTTTGTGGCTGCCTAATGGTAGGGAAGATTTTAAATCCTTACTGTATTTTACTGTATGGCCCCATCTTTTTGGTCCTGGGTATGGTACCTGGGCACATCAGAAAAGCCTTCTGTGATCTAGTTGGTTTTACTGTCCATGTGGACCACAGCTGCTTCTTCAGTTTTAAAGTTCTCTAAAAGGATCACTCAAATGTATTTAAACTTCATTTTCCTAACCTTTTTTAATATTATGGCCTTTCAGAGTGCTTAGAATAGAATGGAACAATCAAACTGTCATTTTTTACAACAATGGGAACAGAGAGTTCTCACAAATTGTATAATATATATTTAAATTTGCTCCTTCCTGTAAAATAGAAAAGAGTGGCATACAAAAACTCATTTTCTTCAAACCTTTTAAGGCACCAGGAATGGCATTTCTTTCTATGATTAGCTTAAAGTAATCATAAATTTTGCCTCTTGACGTACACATCACAATAAGGAGGGTGGGGAGTCAGACTGAGTTTAGGTCACTTGCTCAGGGTTTTACTTTTGCTGTTTCCCAGTGAATAAATAGATTTCTAGTTGTCTTGCTTCCATTCTGCATGTAATTTCTCATCATTATTTGGTTGCTTTCTTTTAAAGTCCTAACTTTCTGGCAGCAATATACTGAAAGAATCATTAAATTACTGGCCAAAAATGGGAGATTCATAATCTCTAGAGATAAAACTTTCAAAGATTTCAGCTTATGGTGTTTTCTCCTACAAAATACAAGAACAACTGTCTTCAGAAAATTATGGAGATGTTGAGAACAATCTTAATGTTTTAAGACTTTTAATTTTGAGAACAAAATGAGAGGCTTATACAGTTCCTTGTTCTGAAAGCAGTAATAAAATAATTCTGCACATAAATACATTTTAAGAGAATCATGTCAGCTACATATGCCCTAAAGCATCTTATGCATTTTTGTTAGGTTTTTGATTATGTATTTACAGACTTGCTCTAAGTTAACTTTTCTGCTTATGTCGGGTTTGATGGGCATTGTAATTGGTTTGTGACTTCAGTAGTATCTTCTGGGGAGATTTTTTTCCTTGAAGACCCTTCTTAATTCCACTTCCAAACTCTGCTTTTCTCGTTTCCAAAATATTGATGCTACTGCCTTTCACTGATTGCACATTCTGACAAATCCCTGATAGTCAAAAGGAAATTGAAGTCAAAACTGACCTTTTCTTACAAGAATCCTGGATAGTCTCTGAATTATTTAAGGGTAGATCTCTGTTTCCTTGTTCTCCTTCATGTCTGTTTATTTCAAAGTCTAGACCCAAATGACCAAGTAAATATGGACCAAAAAAAGAAAATATACAATTGATATTTTATGGAATAATGACTATTATATATTTAGTTGTTTCTTTTTAAATTATAGCCATAAGAGCAATGAAGCAATTTAAAAGCAAGAGTAATTCTTCTAGCAAGAGAGAAGCTGGTGACGGAGGGAAAGAGAAGAAAGATTTGGAACATCAGAAAGGAAAGAGGAATCGCCAATTTCCAAAAATATGGCTAACAAAATACTCCTGGTTAAAATATGATGATGAAAGGGGAATAATGTTTTGTGTACCATGTCGTAAACATAATGTGGATTTGGGGGAAAACATTCATAATTTTTGTTCTGGCACTGATGATTTCAAACTTGAATTTATAAACACGCACCAGAATAGCGAAGCTCATGCCTGGGCTACCTGCATGGAAGCGGCCAGTACTGCTTCACCAGACACAGCTTCTGCTGAGCAGATGTTGAAGAGCATGAACTCCTTAACATTAGGGACAGTAGAAAATATTTTTAGAACATACCATGCTATGGCTAAATCTGGTTCTCCCCTTGTAGATCTTGATGAAATTTATAAACCAGATAAGTTTTAACATGACCTTTCTCAGTTTTTCTCGGACTTACCCTTCTGAAGACTACTGCAGAGGCAGAACAGATCCATTGCTGATTATTAATTGCACATAAAAAATCAGTCCTCCCATAACAAGTACTCTTACAGCCAGGATATGACCAATATACTTCACAGCTTGAACCACTTTTCTTTCTCCCCTGTAAAAATATTTTTGAAAGTTGTAATAAGAATGCTGTATCTTGGTTTTTTATCTTGGAGCTGAGAATAAGTATAGTTCAGTGAAGTATCTGATTTCATATTTTCATAAATCTACATATTCTAAATGCAACTTTCTACTTGATAATTTCCAATCAAGGTAAGGCATACCAGCAGAATATATTTTTACCATCAAAGAAATAGCAATGATTCGTATCAAAAGATAGCTAAAATTAAATCATTAATGACCCCTCTTAGTTCTTCCAACAGTAATGAAGATGTACTAGAGATAATTTGGGAGAAATGAATGTGAGGTCATTCACCTTTAAATCAACCCGTTTTCTGAATCTGAAGATCAACTCTTTCACAGTGAAATGTGTGTAGTAATAGCTGAAGATGCACAATACGATTCCATATCATACTGTATCATGTAACTCTACACTGTACTGTGTTATGCTACACTACACACATGCATATATATACACACACATATCTATAGTCTCTTTTTTGGTGTTTTGCATGTATCTAGGTCTAAATAGTGTGTCAGAAATGGAGTAGGTTTTGAATGAATGCCTCGTGAAGGGATTTTAGCCAATTCAAGAAGAGTTAATCTGTAGGGATCAGAAAAAGGATCAGTACTGTGCACTATACAGTGGATTATAGAACATCTATCATTGAAATATGTTAAACTGTGATTTCTCAGACCAAAAAAAAAAAAATAAATAAAAAGTTTAGATATATTTTACCTTAGAAGAAATAGGGTATATATTATACAAGGTACCTTACTAGATATGTAGCATTGTTGATGCTAAGGGTTTTCTCTTAAATCACATAATCCAGAGAGAATTGTTTCCCCTCAAAGTTTTGAAATGGAAAGTTTTTAACTATGTTGAGATTAGAAAAATGTGTTGAAAATGTGTTCCCAGAATGTCCAACAGCTGAAAACCAAAAAAAAGAAATAAAAGCTGAAAGTATATTTAGCATCTATAATGCTGAAGTCACTTTGGTGATACAGGGGGGCATGTTTTCTCATAATCTTCCTTTCATCCATGTGATGATTCTTGCTGTTTTCTTCTGGGCAGTCTTTAGTTTATGTACATCCTTCTAGATCTGCAAATTCCAAAATTACATGCTAGCAGAAGCTTTAACATCTGGGAGAAAAAAAAAAAAAAAAAAAAAAAAAAAGAAAAAAAAGGATTATTTCCAATGTCTTCTTGTGTACTTTCTGGTAATATTGTGATCTGCCATATTCCCTAGAGACTTTTCTGTACAAATTTTGCTTTATCAGTAAGATTCCCATTGTGACATTTATGCAGTTCATTATTTCAGCCCAGTGGGACACTTGACATTTATCCTTATTGGATATTGTCCTTTTATTCTAGACTGTATCTCCAATTTGTAAAGCTCACTTTGAATTCTAATCCTATTCTCTAATATGCTTAAAATTCCTTCCTGAATTGTTTTATCTGTAGTATAATAAATGGATCAATTTGTCAGTCTGTCTCCTCAGAGTACTTTGATCTGTTTCTGGTGAAAGTTACTTGCTGATCTTGATCATCTGTCGAGTTTTTCGAAATCTTCATGAATACCAATTCTTTTTCCAAAGTACTTTCTGCCTCTTCTAATTAAAAATGTTTCCAGACATTTAATAATTTAATTTTCTGTTCAGTCTCCTACATTATTCAACTAAAACTTACTGGGTTTAGTTTCTTTTATTTTGGACTTAGCAAAAAGATTTTATGAAGAGCATACCTGTTTTGAAACGAGTCCTGTTAGGTGGACAAAGGCAATTCTGGGAATTGTTTTCCTTGTTCTTTCCTAGAAGACATTATTTACTTTTACCACTTGCAGACACTGGTATTCTTTTCTCGGTACCATCTGTGTAGCTGCCCACTCTCAGCATCTCTCTGTGATTATAAAGCATTAGCAGCTCTTGAACTAAAATGGTGAATCACCTTTCATCTCGGATTATAATCAGATATTCAAAAATGATTCCGTGCTCTGTAATATATACCCAAGTACATTAAATCCAGACAAAATACCTGAAAACACAGTGAGGAAAGTATTTCTTATCTTTTTTTTTTACATGTCTATGAGGGATTTCCTCTCTCTCTCTGAGACTTCCTCATCATTCCTCCTACGTGTGTCAGTAGGAGGAATTAAATCACAGTCCATTTGAAATTTTTGAACTATTAGAACTTTGGAATTATCCCACATCAGATGTTTCAGGAGGAGGTAATAAAGTAAAAGGAATTGCCCAACAGCTTATCAGCAATTCTGTAATTAATAGATAGAAAATTGCTTAACTCTGAGTGAAAGAGGATATGTTTCTTCACATTTACCACACAGGAAAAAAAGTGGGTAGATCACCTGGCAGAGCTTAAATATCTCAGAGTAATTCATGTTTGCTATAATATTTACCTGAAAACTGCATTCTAGCATTTGCTATAATCCAGTCCAAGTTCTATGACTGTAACATTTTAGATTGCAATCCCATTTCAGACATTAGTTTTGATGCAAGTTCTTAAAATTCCTTGCCCCTCAAATACTTTTTACATATGTTTCTAAAGTCATGTAGCCTCATAAAAAAATCAGATGAGAATCTTAGTATCCTTTTAGAATTTTATGCAGAAAAACCAAATTAAATTTCATTTCAGGAAGCCATAAACTCATAGGAAATACAGGAGCTACATTCTTTATTGCCATACATGGAAATCGTATTAGGAGTTGAACTGTTCTGAACATAAGATAACATGAGAAAAATTAGATTGCCAGTGATCAGATGTGGAAAGGCAAATTTCAGCAAAAAATGCAATAAAAATTATTGTAGCTGGTCTCTTCATGGTAAAGCACTGGGAAAAAAATAAGACTGAAAGAAGATGTAAAACTTTTTCCTGTTCTTTTTTATATGAAGTGTACACCAGCTCCATCATGGGCCATAGACTATTCTCCCCAAGAACCACTAAAATGTTACCTGGTTTATTGAATTACCTGTGAAGTCACCCAGTAATGATGCTTCTGTTATGCAGGCTTTATTGTACCATATGGAAGTGATCTGATTCTTGTAGCATGAAGTTTTTATCAGAAAATAAATTTGTGGTTACCTTAAAATTATTATATCAGCAAGCCAGAGTGCTTCAGTAAACAGCAAATGGTTTATCACATGGTTTTTTAGAAGGTATTCTTTCTCAATGTGATAACTCAAGAACTTTCACAAGGTGACATCAGAGCACTGTTACCACTCTACCAGTACTTTTTCCCCAGCTCTTGCTTTCATGTTGAAATTTATGGTAGGAAAGTCCTTCCTTCTTCCTGTCCCAACAGAATTTAGGCTTCACAAATCTGGTTGTTTCCTCTTCTCTCCAAGCTTATATATGTGTAGGATTCCTCTGCTGTACTAAGATGCACTGAGGGCATTAGTCCTATGTTTCCTGCTTGGAGGTAAACAGAGACTGTAGACTATTAATTCAAATTGGCTACTGGATTTTTAATACTGACATGAAATTAATATTCAAACACATTCTTAATTTTTCTACCACTTACATCTTTTTTCATAAAGTTACATTTCACTCCACTGTTTCTCTTCCAACGAAAATATTTCTTAGCCTTAAAATGTGCACAGCTGTGCTTTTTCAAAACAACACGAATTTCAACTGGAAAAAGAAAAAAAAAAGTAAGTCTTACCAGTATTTCACTGATTGTATACACTTTTAAAGTTAATCTTAAGACTTCCAGTTTTGATGCTCTGAAAGTGATCATAACCTGACCAAATCAGGTTTGTCTCTCAAAATTTAAATAATTTGAAACTTATTTTACAGGTTTTTTTGTTAATGCAGAGGTTTTGCAGTGCATCCTCACTGAGCTAGCCCAGTCTGTTTCTGGAAGAAAAGACTCTTATCTGTCTATTAAATTTAACATACATAATATTGCATTTTAATACTGTGTATGACGTTTGAAGTTTGCTTGCTCATAAGCAAATCCATGCCTATTTAAAAAACAAATAAGACTTACTGTACTTACCTGTCTAATGATTTCTGTAAAATAAAATTAATGGAGCTATTTTTAACTCCCACAACTCAGTTCTGAAAAGCTTTTTAAACAGATCAGTTTTGTTTCAAATTTCAACAGACAATGGTCTGTGTTTCTTATCCTGTTCTCTAACTTATGCTTGCTTTAAAGTGTGGAGATAGACTTATGATTGATTAAAATAGAGCACAGAGGGGGAAAAGGTTGGTAGGTATTCAGTACACAAAATCGTGTGATTGGTACTTTTGAATTGCTCATTAACTGTCAGTGTAGACTGTGTGAGGATAGATTAGTGATCATAATGGAGATCAGAACAAGTATCAAAAGAAATGCAGTGCATTAGAATATTTGATATTTTACTGTTAGATAGGCCACACATGATTTATTTTAAATGAGGAAATCTTATGTTTGGATTTGAAAATATTAACATTATCAGTTGTGCATAACAGTAAAACAAATAAGTTTCCCACATTGCTATTAAAATTAAAAACCAGATTTCTTTTAACAGAAGAATTCTATTTAAAATGCTAAATATATTTTTTTGATATTGACTTTTCTATTAGGTTTTATACGAAAGAAAGTATTTATTGACAGTTTTAGTCGCTTGATTAATTTGAATCGTGGCGAAAATTACCTTCCTGATCGATGGATGAACTTAAAACTTCCAGATGTAAGTTAACCCCTGTTTTCAACGGTAGTATTGGTTTGTGCAATATTGCACAATTGGTGCAACATTGTTCTTGTTAAGATAAAACCAAGATTATAGCTATTATAGGACATTATCAGTTTTTCCTTAAAATTCTTCTGCTTCACTAGAGGATTCTAGAAGCCACTGGGCCAGAAATAAAATGCTTTTTTCAGCAATATATTTATTTAAAATTTTCAAATCATGGGTTTTTTTATACACCATTGAAAATTCATTTCCAGGAGCTAAAATAACACTGTTAATGTTCTTCATTCCAGCACAGGAAGTTAAAATCTGGAGCTATATGACCTTAAACTTACTTACCTAAGATTTTCAGGTTTAGGGACATGAAAAATTAGAATTCAGTCTTTCCAAATCTTCTGTGCTGAATTGTCTGATCAATTTTACCTTCAAATGTTACTGGTAGGCCTATTGAATGAAATTGTTTACTTGTTTTAGCATGTTTTGATAATTATTTCTGACATAAACCATGATTCAAATCTGTGTTTTTACTGTATTTCACATGTGGGAAACAGCTTCATTTGTATATTCTTCACACAGATGAACTGCATGAGTAAAACATTTAAAGTTTCTCAGTGGTGTATTTCCATTGAGTTTAGTGAAAACTAGCCACAGCTGTCTTCATCAGTATATAAAAATCTAATCTTAGCACAGCAAATTAATTGTTTAGGGGAAACTACAAGTCAAATATCGTCTATTAACCAACCATATGTGCATGTATTCCATGTGCTGTGTTCTTTGAGAACTTTTAGTGCTTATAAATGCTATTTTTATTTTAATAACAGACTTTTCTTTCTTTAAAAGTGCCATTTTAAAATGAGACTTTTAAATTTATAATGAAAGCAAGACTTATTTACAAAAGGAAATGCATGAAGCGTAAGCTAAGGTATACATTTATTTTACACAAGCTATTCTGAGCTTAACTCACCATTTCACCATTCTGGTGTGACTTACCAGAATCTCAATAAATTTTAAATTACTAATAAGCAGCAGTGTTCCAGCCAGTATTAGCACAGATGACATCTACAATGTCACCAAATTGTCTCACTGTGCTGCCCCAGGGCCTTCTTCCTGTGAACACCTTCTTCTTAAACTCTGGTCTGAAGCAACTCAGACACTTCCCTCGACAAGGAAATCTGGATGTGGAGCAGAAAGTTGTGTAGAGGTGCATAGTAGGGTCTCACCATACCAGTGGTGCAGAAATGAACTGGACAGATTTGGATTCCCCTGTCAAACACAGTCCTTGTAATGCTGCCTCAGGAGATTTTAGAAATGTTCTCCTGTTTGTTTCTCCCTGTAACCAACTCTCCGATGTACATGCAATGTCTTCATTGGTAAAAAGACACAAAGCACTTTTTCTACCACTACTTTTTTCTAACTGAAAATAATGCTGGAGGAGAGAAAGCCACTTTGTCAACAACAGGACCAAGGATTTGCTAGATTTTGTGCTCATGCTGCTAAATTGTTAGTTCAGTTCTTAGTGCTCAAGGCGACAGGACATGGCTCAGGGTTTCAGGATGATATCTCATAGGCAGTTTAGATACAGAGCCCTATTTGGGGAGTTAGAGCATTTATTTAGAGGGATATCAACTGCACAGGCCAGCTGACACACAGTGGCCTGTGGCCTGTTTTTTTACTGATACATGCCCTTTAAATAACTGTGACATCTCTCTGCAGGACCTTGTCCTTCCTAGCCAGGATACACAGGATATTGAAGGAGTATGTTTGTATGTTTATGCATGCATATTTGACAATATTTGTCGTTCTGGTTTTGTAGTTACAAAATCTGGCATCTGCATTCTCAGTGAATGCAGAATTTACTGACTGGCGCAGATTCTTGGTAGCAGCAGCACAACCTTGGCCAGTGCCATCTGTGACACAACTCCTCAAAACACTGCATAGCTTCAAGGCTGTTGATGAAGCCGGATCGGGCTTTGTTACAAAGGAATACTACATGCAGGTTATAATTCTTTTCTCTTTTGAATCATGTTTTGTTTTGCTAAACTCTCTAAATTGAATGATATATTGTTGGGTTTATTCACATTCAGAAACTCAGTCTGAATTTTAAATGTTTTTGGGTTTAAGGGTGCTTTCTGGTAAAAAGTGTTTTCAGGAAATGTTCGTATTGCCACAAATCAAGCTTACTTTTTACTTCCATTTCCTAGTTTCACCATTAATTTAAAGTAAAAATAATTTCTGTTTTAAAGAAACCATTCTGTGTGCACTTTGATGACTATTAGCTTATTTGACACTGAGCAAGATTAAAAAAAACTTGCTCAAGCATAAATAAGGATTTTAGTTTCAGCTCATCAGCTGTACTTAATTGAAATATTTCTAGATTTTTTTCCCATTATTATTTCCTCAAATTAAGATTGTTTTCCAGACCTTGAGTTCCTGCAAAATTATAAAATTCTTTGATCTTTTCTCAGAAGATAGCTTCTATTTGAATTACTATGTGGTTTAGCAAGGTTTTTCAGTAAGTTTCATGGAGTATTAAGAATATATTTTTCTTCTTTTAGAAAAATTCTGCTCATTAAATTTTCACTTACTTTACTTTCTTAATCATACTTAGAATGACTACTGTTTCATTCTTTTAGTCCATACTAGCTATGAATATCACATATATATCTATATACATATATGTGTCTATAGATGTATGTGTATATATGTGCATGAATACACAAAAGTACTACAGTTCTGCCAGTTTGCATTTGTTGATATTAAAAATAATTTTCAAATTCTTTTAAATAGATTTCATAGAACATTTATTGCAATTTGCTTTCCAATCACTTAATGTTGGTTTTCTTCAAAAACTAAATAAAGGCTATGTTTCCAGAAGTCTGTCAGTTTCAGAACTACTTTGATTAATTTAAAAATTCTGGGGGTGCCTTCCAATCCCTACCCACCCCTGACTTGCAAAGAAACAAATGCTGCAGAACCAAAAATCCCACAAAAAGTGCAGGTTTATATGCACCTTTTTTTCTGTTGTTGTAATTTTTACTGAAGTGTGAGTATTTAAAAAGAAACTAACAGGTATAAGGCATGCAGACTGAGAATGTACACAGGATCTTAGAGTCTCTCCATGCCTATCCTATTGTAGATTTAGTTGATGTTTTCTAGTCTAGTATTACAGAATTCGTTCTGAGCACTATTAATTTACAGCTGTAGCTATAGCTCTGTAGGCATTACAGGACATGCTCTCTAGGCATTACATTAGTCATCTTTTTGGGAGCAGGGAAAGCGTGAGAAGAGCCATGACTCCATCCTTCATCATCCTGAATTGTGGACAGTTTGTTCTGAAAGTACAGTTCAGACAAAAACTATGGAGGTAGTAAATGGTATCCTAAAAGGAAGAAACCAGAACATGCATAGAAACTCCACGTTTTGCTTCTTCAACCATGTAGTTTACAACTATGTATTTTCAAGGGTATAAATTCACTTCTACCTAATTTTCAGTAATTTCTCAAGTATCTGTTATGAAGTACAAACAGGTACTTAGTTGTTCTGTATTAATGTGTATTAATAATAAATTCAGTTTGATTAAGTCCAGGAATTAAGCTCTTAGTAACCCGTCTGTTGAACAGTTAGAGAATAAAGATCACCTTATTTTAATGTGTGAAAATTAACATTTTTTTTTTAAATCAGGTTGGCTTATGGTTTCATGGAAATGAAGATCCAAGCATAACAAAAGGTTGCACACAGTCTATGTCTTTAGATAGGCTAAAACGCCTCATAAAGGTAACTAAAAACATAGGTATTTTGAAGAGACTACTATTGAAACCCGAGAGGTCTCATACAAAAGTTTCTTGTGTCTTTTTTTTCCCTGTAATTGCTTCAGTGTTTCAGTGTTTTTTGAGGTCAGGTGGTGCTTCAGAATAATGTAGAAAGGAATCTAAGAATTGTCCTACTGTATTCTAAATCTAAAGTAGTCTACTCAGAATTAATTATTTGTGGTCTTCATTGAACAACATTAATTTTGTTACACAGTAAGCAGCTTTGTAAAGAATGGGAGACAAATGATCGCTGCATCTAAGCTCATAGATATTTCCATGAAAGAGAGAGCTAATAGTGTGATCTGAATACAAAAAATGCTTTGAACATGTTTGTCATGATACAAGATTTTATTAATTTCTCTATATTCTGTGAAATTCAATTTCTGTTTCCTTGAATTACTTAAACACATGATTTATCTGGATTTACACAGTATTAATATGCTTTTAAACACAGTATGTCTTATTCACAGTAGCTATTGTATTTCATCCTTTTCTCTACAGTCCTTGATTTATATTCCATTAAATTCCACTAGTGGAAATTGGTTTACATATTTTTGTCCTTTTATAGTTTTTCTTCAGTTTATTTGCTGATACCAGAAAAGGTCCTGCTCTGCTCGACTACACTGAGATGCTGCTTTATTTTGCCTCCCACTCTGATCCAGTTGAAGGTGTATACAGAGCACTTAGTGTTGCTACTGGAACATATGTTCACAGAAAAAAGGAAGCCTCTCATCCATGTGCGGTAAAGTATTACAGTAAATTACTAGAGAAAGTAGTAGTGCTTTCAAATTGTAAATTAACTGTATTTCTGTATATTTGCTTACCCTGGGTATCTCCAGTCCTTACAAGTAATCTCATTGACTTCATGTGAACTCTGCAAATAGTTTTACTGACTTTGGTAATAATACTCAGAAGTATCCTTCCAAAAGTCTGGAAATTTACCTGCTAAGTAATAGTGAAAGTTTAAGATATTTACTGGTACATACGAATGTAAGGTAATTCTTTGGCCTAGTCTTAGGCCAGCAGTCAGTCCCCAGGGATTAGACTGTAGTGTGACTGTAGTGTTATCTATGGATGCGAAACCTGATATTATTGCTGCTCTTGCTATATTTTCCACTGTGTTTCTTTGGGGTATTTAGAAGTAGATACACTGTTGTTATTATTTTCAAGTGTTTAGTGTTACCTGTAAACCAGAAGGATTAATAATA